CAGGAATTCGTCGAAAACTTCTGTATTCTGCTCCAGCTTTGAGTTTATCATCAGGAACACAAGAAGGAACTAGAAGTAATGGTGGATAGGACGGGCATACGCGATAATCTTTATTGATTTGACTTATACGCCATGTAGTATGTAAATTAAATTTTAGTCGTTCTACCTAAGAAATAAACAAAATAATTAAATTATATTTAAATTGTATTTTACTCATATTTGTTTTATTATTAATTACTTACTTCTGAATTAAAGGTAGCACTATATGATGTATTATCTTTTCCTAATTTAAAATTTTCTTTACCTTCTTCCATAGACCAAGCATAATATGCAAAAGCAAATATATCTTCTACACTCTTTCGAGGATAAGTTACCTTATGTAATCGCTTGAACCATTCCAAACAATGTTCATTTGTAGCAAAAACACAACTGAAAATATTAAATTATATTATGAAAAAAAACATTATGAAATTTAATAAAATAATAAAATGCCATACCTTAGTGAACGAGCATCCTTGCAAGCAATATGCAAGAAAAAAAGTTCTTTAACTTCTAACTGCTCTATTAAACCCAATGGAATATTGTAACATGCCTGACTTAATTGTAAATAGAGTCTGTAATTAGAAAGAGCCAATACTCCATCCGATGTACGTCCAAGTGCTACAATATTTTCTCCACTCAAAGGTGTAAATGGAACTGTAAGTGTTTGATCCTCGCATTCAAAATGTGTATGCTTTGGAAATAATTCCGAAGCATGTAAATGGCAAATGGATTGCAAACTTGTTGGCTCTTCAGAATTCTCCATCTCCTCTCTATGTGACACATCATATATAAACTTGAATCTCCTTCTTGAACATGAAAAGTTCTTATTGCGAATTATAGATTATTTTTATAATATTTACACATAATATAACATTGGAATATTCTAATTTTCATAATTATTTAATAGACCTGATTATTTATTAATAATTTATGTAATATATTTTACGTATATATATTTTATATACATTGCATTATAAACATTGCATAGTTCTTCATAATATCGTTACGCTTAAATTATACATATTTTTTATAAATTTTAATAAAAGCAAATAAATAATCATAAATATATGTTATCAAAAAATTTTAATATTATATATATTTTATCGATTGATAAATACATATTATTTAAATCACGACTAGATATCAAATTCCATAAATCTATTCGAAATAAGACGATACGCAAGTAAACGAGATATCGATATAACATACGCTAAAGTGCTTATGTTTATTATCGCTTATTGATTTGTGTCATTTTGAAAATGTCATATATAAAAATATATTGATGAAATAAAAAAATATATACAATATCTATAAAACAATGTTTTGTCTTTATGGGTTATCTGTTTTGTTTCAAAACAAAAATATTTACAAAAATACAAAAAAAATGTATCATTCTTTATTGAGTATTAATCATTTAAATATACTTAAATATTATAATCAAAAGAATAAAATTTAAAAAATTAAGGATATATCAGACTAATAAACATTTAAATTGACATACATATGCATATTCGTGTTTGTCGAAGATTGATAATGCTACAAACTGCTATAAAATGTTTCAATTGTAATTATCAAACAAAATAGAATAAAAACATTTTATATAAAAGAAATTAAGAAAATATTAAAAGATAAAAACATTTTCAAATAAAACGGCCGGATGTTTTTCACATGTTCTTTTTTTCATAAATAATAATAAACTAAAAATAACAAGTTTATAGTATAAGTAATAGTGATGATGTCTTACCTTGAATTGCGAAGTTTCTTTGCGATGGACGATATCCAATCGTTTTAATATTTCATACAAAATCCATGAATAATCGTTTATAGAAGAAGTACAATGTAGACATTATTAAATTAAAAAAGAAAGCCTTTTTCCACATGGGAAAAAATATAACTATTTTGATTCCAAGCGTAACAAGTATCTAAGTATTTTAAATTTTTCTTAAAAGATACGTAGGTAGCTTACGGCATAAACGATTCTCTTAGTCTTATATGAACTCAATCCAAACGCGATCACTTTTCGTTACGACAATTCAGGAGAATGATCAGCATCACAAAGAACGATCTCCATTAATTAAACTGTTTGTTTATTTTTTTTCTTAGCATTCGTTGAATAACGGTTTTATGAAGAATTCACTTTCTGATTAATTTTTTTAAAAGACACTCGTTCTACTCGATGTGAGAGTTAGAATGACAGATTAGTCTATATACAAATTAAGCTGTTTTTCCATTATTCGGTATATTTCTTATTGGTTATTTTCAACGTAAGAATTTTTTCTTAAAATCATTTTATCATTTATCATAATACAAAAAACCATTTTCTATTTTTAAAAATCAATAAAATATAGATAACATAAAACTCTGGTCAAGTAATTGATATATTGAATATTTTTATTATGTAAATACATATTAATAGGTTTCAATTTTATCCTCATGAAAGTACAAATAATATCACTGTGAAAATTTTTTCATAATCATTCATTGCTTTTCTCTTGTAACATAACAATCTATCTTTATAATTGTTCATGGATGTTCACAAACTTCACGAACAAAATGGAAGTCGGCGCATGCGCCATTTCCATTGCTTTATCATAAATTAGGTTTAATGTTTTTTTTATCATATTATAAATTAAAAATATTTACATGTTTTTAATATTTTGCATTATTTACGAAATATAGAATAATTAGAATAAAAATGATATAATTCTATTCTTTCATGACTAATTCAAAAAGCATATACTTGATATCAACAATAAAAAATGAAATGAATGTTTATATTAAACATTAACAGGTTGCAAGTACTGCATTTTGAATAAGGTACGCAATAGCGTCATAATTACTCTTATTATTATCATATTGTTCTTTAGTGAGAATATAAAAAAGTTGAATTTACGCGCACAATATGACGCATTTTGATACACCATACTTCGCGAACACAAAGCACGAGTGCTGAAAAATGACGCATCACTATGCAAAATGGAAACGAACTATTGAGAGTTAGTCGCTTTCTCATCATGCTTTCCAAAAATTTGGATTTTGTTGTAACCTCCTCTCAAAAGTTTCGTACCATCCTTGAATAGCAGATAGCGGTACAAAGTTTTCTGTTGGATTTGGTGTCATTTGTGCTTGAGTCACAGAAAAACTTGAAACATAATTCAAAAAACTAGTAAGCATTTTTTGAACAAATTCTAAAAACGAGTTTGATGTAGCCTGTGTCACTGTAGCTGCTTGTTGTTCTATAGCTGCAATAGGTTCAACAGACACCCCTATTTGTGCTACATGTGAAATTTTCCCAACTCCAAAAATTCCTAAATTGCTGTTTTCAAATTCATGATTCTTCTTTAAGTTTGATATTTTAAATATAGCAGATGGTTTAGCATTTGAGATATATCCAAGAAATTGCCAGTTAGGTGGAGCAGTTGGATCTGGCCAACTGAAATACACTATAAAAAACAATTCTTAGAATAATATCATTAATATCATATTTATATAATTATGTAATATTATAATATACCTGCACCACCTGTACCATCAGGAAATGGTATAGTACCTGTGAGAAATACCACAATATGATTTATATTATCTGCATCAGGTACTGTTATTAAAAACTGGTTTTCTCCTATTTGCTGAAAATCCGTTTGTACCTAAAAAAAATTTAATTTACAATAAATTTAATATACAATTATATATTATACATATATTTTAAATAATTCAGGTTTATTGACTGAAATTTGAAAAAGATTTGAATTTTTCGACATTACATTTCACATGTTCGATTAGATGCTCGTGTCAAGCTGACGACGGGGTAGGATGAGGTGGGGGCATTACTGAAAGGTAACAAAAACAAGATACGAAACAAAACCATAATATACAAAGAATAACAAACTAGAAAAGAATAATAAAATGCGCCTTAAACAGGAATATTGATATATTTATAATTAAATAATATATTTGACAGTTTAATATCGAAAATGAAATACAATGTCGGTATTTATTACTACAAAACTTTAATACTTACGAGTCGACCAGATACAATTATACCAAGCATCTTTACGTCGAATCTAGATCATTCTATCGCTTTCTATTTATCAGGTTATACCAAATGTACGGTAAATACACGACGTCGTGACTCCATCCAAACATTTACAACCGCGAGAATGGTGTTTATCACGATTTGTACAACTGTGTAGAGAGCAGAAACTAAAATAAAATTAGTGATTGCAAATAAAGCAGCATTTTTATGAATGATACATATGAAACTTAATAGAAATAATTTTCTTCGAAATTTTTAGATCAAAATAGAAATAAATAGAAGTATTTCATTGATCAATTTATTAAATTATTTTCTCTTTTTTATTTTATATTTCTCTGCAAAAAATTTTTAATAGATATATATAATAGATAAATATATAATAGATTCTAATTCACTTGAAATATAGCAATTTACCACCTGTTATCAAGATTAATATCAAATTATAATTTAATAAATTCCTTAAGTATTTTAATAAAGCAATTTTATATATTTTATTTTTCATATTTTTATTTTTTTCTTTTCTATATATTTTAAAATTAAATTTCGAAAACATATATTTTTAAAAATTTCATTTCTTCAGAATTCATATATTACGCACGATTCACAATTATTTTATTTACATATATTGTATCGAAATTATTCTTACTTTCGTATACTTGACTCATATTATATAAATGTAAATAAACAATAACATTTTTTTAAGTATATTTTTTGATTTTGTAAAAATAAATTATATACATAAAAAGTATAAAAATTATTAAAAAATATTCATTCACATTGAAGAAAACTTTCTTACTCTGATTGAATCATTTTTCTATAGTAAAATTCTTCATATCAAGCATAGTAAAGAATCAGTTTTATAAATTATTTCTTATTCTCTACATGAATCTGTGTAAATAAAATGAATAGCTAGAAAGAAATTATTAAAGGTATATTTATATATAAAGGTATATTTACAGTGAATGTGATCTTTTTTAGAAAAAAGAAAAATATATATGTAAAATGAAATGTACGTAAGTAACATGTGCAACATAAATCAATGACGTCAATAATTTCCTAAAATGAATCTTTTAATCTTAAACTTGGTGACGAATTATTAAGAAAAAACTTGTTTTGATCATATTATTATTGTATTCTTATTATTATTCGATTATTATGTTGAAGTATAAGTAAAAAGTAAGATTTATACTAAAATATGATTTGCAATAATTAAAAACATTCGGAATAATGTAAGTTAAAAGCAAATTAAAAAAGTCGAAAATTGCTGGATGAATTGCCATGGCAATGACGATGACAGTGATAGTGAGAGCAAACCTCTACGAACTTCGCTGTGTGTGACATCACTCTTCATTGTTGGAGGTTTACGTCATTCTCGAGTCTGGTCCTAAGTCGGTGCGCGCGACCTACAGTAGTATATACATGCGACAGACTAGTGGCGGGAAGTGATAGAGACGAAAAAGACAAAAAATATCTAAATTATTATTGTAATTAAGTGAAATATATTAAACGTTTCGTTTTTCATTAAAATAAAATCATTGTTTGTCTATAGTGACTTCTTTTTTTGAATCAAAAATTGGAAACTATTAAGCTTATAAGTAAGAAAAGGAAAAAGGATACTGTGCCTATGCAATGGAGGAGTGAGGGTAACTAATCGTAAGAAGGATAGAGAGGAGAGGGTGAAAGAAAAAGAAAGAAGGTGTACGAGATAGAAAAGGAACATGATATGAAGCGCGACGTTTAACAGTGGTAGCGCTGATTTGTGATTTCATCAACGATTACTGATTTCGAGAGAACTTAATCTGAATCGAGTGTAGTGCTTTCGAACTGTAGAGTATTTTTCGCGCGTTTATAAAATTATACGCGATATCACTGATATCAAAAGAATGTTCACGAGTATGTAATTTATTTGTGATTTGTCCACAGCAGTGCCTCTTTGACGACGCGCTCTTACATTTTAAATATAACGGTGTATAAATAAGTATGAGCAATAGCGGGAGTGTACTATCAGATCTCTCATTGTTGATTTTTCCAGAGAATCTGAGTTTGATTACCGCGTTTTTTTATTCGGATTTGAGACTTATAAATGAATGCACATGAAATGCAGTCGAAATCAATGTTTTTCCCTTTGAAGTTTACCACATATGTTTTTTATGCGTGGGCATGCAGCACCGAACTATCATCAAGGTTAGTGTGCCTGACAGGTTCTCCATCGCCTTGCAAACTTACGCTAGTTCTCAATGGGTAGCAGTGAATAGCTGCAGTAGGTAATTAAATAGTGTACTTTAACGTGTATATTTATTAGTAATAAAAATAACATTGTAAATATTGCGAATATATACATTGTTATCATAGTGATTACGATTTTCTTTATACTTATATCCTTATTTACAAAGATTTAAAACAAATATGAATATTTCTCTCTCTATTCATTATATAGTTTGTAATTATAACATACTATATAAGAAAGAAAATAAAAAAAAAAATAATAACTTTTCTTTTAAATAGGAAAATTCAAAATTCTCCTCTGTTGAATGATTAAAAAAATAAATATATCAAATAGGCATAGATTCTTTGCCTAATTCACATTATTTTATACAATGAAATCTTTCTATATATTTGTTCAAGTTTATATCAAGAGATATCGACAAAATCTATGTAAGTATAATTAACAAAAATATATTTATTATATTTTAATAATAACTTTAATAAAACTTTAATATAAAAATTACATTTTTAACTAAAAAATTTCACTAATGAAGTATAATTTTATTTCAGGGAAAAAAAACATACGTAATGTTGTCACTTGTATACTGGATACACATACACAAAGAGTGGCAACTTACTAAAAATTATCTGATTATTGGTCCTCATGCTTATATAATGCTCCAAGAATTTTATATTTTTATCATTGAATTGGCACATTTGTGCAAAAAAAGGTAATGTAAATATTTTCTTTTATTATTACTTTATTTATTATGCAACAAAAGTGAATAAATATGTTACAGGCTTAAAATAATAAACAGTTGGTTGTAATTAAAGGAATAGTTTTTCACAATGCAGCGTAACATGCTTTTCCTTGTTGCAAAAGGATTTGATACTTGGAAGTATGTTTAGCAGTACAATATTACATACATTAAGTTAATTGGTAATAAAATGATTTTAGCATTACCACACTCTAATGAAAATCAATTCAACTTTTATCTATTATTTATTATTTGAAATTAACAACTTCTAAGTTGGATATATATATATATATAATATATAATATATATATATATATCGAATCCTCTTGCAAATCAGATAAAGATTGACATGTTCGCAGTTTGAGTGTGATAATACTGCTTTAAATCACAAAATATTAGTCTCATGAAATTATGACTAATTTATGTACATCTTATTTCAGAACAGCCGTTTCTATGAGTGCTACTCATTTGTTACACTGTGATGGAAAGGATATTAACAATAAAAGTGCTTCAAGTAAGTATATTTTAGACATGTATATTTTTGCACATATTAGCACATATCAATATACATTATATTTATTTCCGCAGGTAGAATGGCATGTGAGGTATTTCTGGGTGGATCTTGTAATCCGACCACATGGAGATCAGAAATAGCGATACCAACTTTACAAAAACTCGGAATTACTTATTACAATCCCGTATGTAACTATCGATATCGATTTTATTTTGATTTATCTGTTGTTAATAATTGTTGATATAATTATGAATAATGTATTTCAGCAAGTATCACAATGGGGACCAGAATTGATAGCTCAAGAATATGAAGCAAAACAAACGGCGAAAGTATTACTATTCGTAATCGATAATCAAACACGCAATAGTGCAGGCATCATTGAAGCAGCTCAGTTGGCAGCTACGCGCCGCGAATCTTTAATCCTTGTTATTTATCCATATCGTCAAGGTCAAACGATACTTGGCGAAACTGTATCTATTCAGTAAGTGCATTTTTTTTGATTCCACTTATTTTCTGATCCTATAAGTTAATGTTAATAACTATCAACTTGTATAACAAACGTTAATTCTTTAGAGAATATTGTGACCTGATGAATGGTTTGCTAGTACTTCAGTATTTAATGGAGAAACAGAGGATACCAATATTTGAAAGTGTATCTATTGCACTGAATTGTACATCTAAGGTATATATATATATATATACACATCATTTTCAGAGAATGTAATTTACAATTAGTGATTAATTAATTTCTGAACCTTCCATATATATATATTATATATATTTTATATTATATATAATACGAAATAGAATTAGTAAAATATAGATGATTGTTGTATATGATATTTCATCAGTAAAATTGTTTTTAATTATTATTATTATTTATGAATCCTCTTTTACCAGGTGCTACGTGAGGAAATTAATGTGCAAGATCTGCATTCCGAAGATGGCATTAGACCAATTAAAATATCATTCAATCAAAATGGAATAGATTTAGTGTAAGAGTTTTTTTTGTTGAAACTATATATATTTATGTAAATAAAATAGTATTAAATACTCAATTTTAATTTTATTAGTATACTCAGAGAGATTTTCAAGTCTATGGATATGAGTGACAGTGGAAGTATAAACTTAGAAGAAGTAAGTTTAGCTAATAATGTAAAATTAGAATTTATAATCTGAATAAGCAATTTTTCTTATTTAAAATAAGTAATTCGTTTTTTTTTTTGTCCAAAGAAATATGAAAGCAAAAAGCTATAAATCTTATTTCTGTTCGGAATTGCTTAATGATAGAATGAGAAAGCATATTCTATTGTTTTTTGAAGAATAATATTTATTCAATTTATTATTTTATAATTTAACTTTATTTCGAATTCCTTATTCCTTATTCGAGAACAAAGTCAAGTTCAATAATATTCTTGATATCCATAATAAACAATTAGTCAATTAGTAAATTGCCTATTTCGAAATAAAATTATATAATTTATGTAAAAAAATATAGATTACATAAAAAGCACATATATTTTATATTGTTTGCATTTTTGATTTTGTAGGCTTGGATAGCATTACAATCGAGTGTTAAGTGCAACGTATCATCGATGCCAGAATTTCTTAGTATCGTAAATAAATCTGGTAATAAATTTTTATATTTATATTTTTATATTTTATAATAAAACTCGTTTATATATATATCCATGCATCATGCTATCATTTATACTTATAATTATATATATATATTTATCACATATGATAACAATGAAAACGGAAAATATTAATTTAGCTATATTTTCTTTATTTATTTTTATATCTGTTTTCAGAAACTTATAGGTCATTGACAGATGATGGATTTTTGAGCAAAAGGGATCCAACGGAATTGCGGATAAACTTCGAACAGTTTTGTGCCTTAGCTACTGAATCATCGTGGAGGATGAAAAGCAACGGCGTCTCTTGTGAAAGTGAGATACCTTCAGTTTGGAGTATATTATGTAGGAAGGCAACGAAATTTCTTCGCAGAGCTATCGTGCAACCTTTTAATCGTTTCTTAGGTATTTCTTATTCTCAAAAATTTCCCACGACCTGTAGTAGTCTTTGTATTGTTAGCGTGTATGAACTAGCAAACAGGTTGTTACGAGACGTTCGTGCCTCGATTAATTGTTCACGAAAGCGTTCGAGCAGTCGAGTGTACGATTCGTTCGACCGTTCAACTTTTTAGATTGGACCAATTTCTTCGTGCCAGAATCCGAGAAGAGAGACTTGTACATTGGAGTAATCGGTAAAGATCAGTTTTGGTTAGAAACGATCGCCATACCCTCGATCGAGTGAGCATTCGAGATGTAACGTTCTTTCGATTATTGCCATTTCGACAATATCGTTATAAGTTTACATGTAAATTATTTATCATTCTAGATCTATTGGATTATCTTTATATCGATCAAGCCTGAATGAGTACAACGTAAGAGTATTGCCACAAGAATTGCAGAGAATGAAAAATTCGCGGTTAATATTATTAATTATACCGCAACATTCACGTGGTATCACTATAATGGCATTGGCAGCTCACCTCATTGGATTACGCGCAAAATTAGTCCTATGCGTTCAAACGCTTCCCGAAGACTGCGTAGTTTCTGGTGAAAAGGTAATATTTTCTATGTTTTGTATATTTTATATAAGATATTAATTAATTAACATCTAAGAATTAATTAACAAGACTTAATTAACAGATGATTCTAAAAATAATTTCAAGCAACTTTTTCCTTTATAAATTTTCATTTCGACATGTTTTATTTCAAATTATTAATGAAAAATATTGCATAAAGTGTAGAACATCATTATATAGAATAGCATTTGTATATGTTACCGTATGTGAATCTCTGAATTTGAAAAAATAGTCGAAGCAACATACAATCAGGCAAAAAATTATTATTCTTTAAAATAACTCTTAGTAATTGATTTCAATGAAATTTATAGTATATAATTGACAAGTTTACAAAATATAATTTTTAAATTTTCACTAGAAGTTCAGATAAAAAAATTGAAAAAAATATTCTTCAATATTTGCAATTTCGGCAAATTATAATTTTTGCAAAAAATTTTTTACTATAATCTAATAAATTTTAATTTATCTAAAAAAAAAAAAAGCCAAATCATTAATCCAATTGTAAAGAAATTATTATGTATATTGTATATCAATACTTTTTTGATTAATACATCAGATATATTGAACTTGGCAATTGATGGTTTATTATATGTTATCATCAAAATAACAATAGTTTTTATGTTTTTCGTTAATAATTTGTTAATAAAGTTGAAAATTCGCAAAAAAAAAAATATTACTTAAAATGAAATTGTCCTAGAAATTATTAGTTAAGCTTTATCGATCATCTTCTGGAACAGTATAAATATTATTATGTATATTAAAAAAATATACAAGAATATGTTTTTTGTTCATATCTCTTAATTTTTTCCATTAAAAAAAATTCTGTATAATATTGTTATATAAAGTTACATTTCTTTTTAGCTAACTGAACAAGCCATAAAAGACTACAATCGGGGAAGAATGTACCTGTCGGACTATGCGTCGCGCGAAGGTGTACCTGTTTTTCAGAATATCGCAGATGCTTTGCAACATGCGATACAACTAGTTCAACATCTCTGATTTTCTTCTTGTTCCGATTCTCCTTTCTTTTTTCTTTTTGATTTTACACTCAACCCCTTCCGTCCTTTCCTCACTCTTACTCTTCTTCATCTTTGACTCCTATCTATTTTTTTATTATTATTATTTTTTTTTTTTTTGATATGAGTAAATGTTTCAATTCACTGATTAATTTATTTTTATTGTTAGTAATAATGTTCAACTACTAATCGAACGAATAAAAAATAAAATTGTGCTTGTTTCCAATTAGATTTCAATTAGGTAAAGAATGTGGTATTAAATCCACAATATGGTATTTTACATAAATTTAAGAATATATTAGATGAAAAAAGGAATGGTATTATCTCGATCTGTTGGAATTGTGAAATATTTCGTATAACGGATCGTTCCATTTTCATAAAGTTGCTCGTATCGAGTCGGTTACAGTAAAGTAATTTGAATTTCAGTGAAATTTCTTATGGTAGTTGAACATAGATTTTATAGTGATTCAATTCAATAATTTTGTAACCATTTGGTAACTGGTTGAGGATTGATATACGTGTATTGTACATAGATTATTAGCTGTTTCTAACGATCTAATGATAATTAATTTGAAATTTATTAAAAAAGAATGCATGAGAATGCGTGGAAGAGATTTGATAGGCAAAATGTGTGGATAAAAGACGCGTACCTGTGAATAAATAATAAATTTTATTTAGCTACTTTGTATTATATCATATGCTGTGACGTGTAATACGGTTTATCCGTGAATAACAGAAATTATGAAAAAATTATATTTCTAGAATTTAGTCTATGTACGACAAAAATGCAGGACAAACAAATTTTAACTATATATAAAATATCTTAAACTCATTTGACATTCGTTAGAACAATTTAAACTGCTCGACGCATTCTCTTCTCTTTTTTCCTTTCTTCTTTTTAATCTTTTAATCACTTAATCCTCTTCCTCTCTTTTTCATTCATTCATTCATTTCATTCATTTCACACTTTCTGCTGTTTTTATAACTTAATCAATATTTTCTTTGTACAATAAAAAAAATTGTTTTTATTTGTAATATTCGTTTCATCCAAATAAGATAGTGTAACGTTTCGAAATTCGAAAATAAGAAAAAGAAATCGGAGAATTGATGAAAAACATTATTGTGAAAAATTTACAATTTTATTTATTATAGTCTTGTGCAATCTTTCTTCTATGGATTATTTTTTCGAACAAAATAATAACGATAAATACTTTTTAAGGAAAGCAAGACTGGTACCATAGTTGGCAAAAATAAAGGTGTATATACGGCATATCTGAAATCAAAGAAAAAGAAATAAAATGAAAAAGATAATGAAGATTAGAGATAGTATGATGAATATTTCGTATGAATAAAGATATATTACTTTTGATCTGCAGGAAAATACAACAAAGCAAAAAGTGTTGGATCGGAAAATGCTGCTTCTGCGGTAATGAATGCTTCTTTGCTCAATAAGAAACCTGTAGCTAGATCACCCTGTGTTAATTGTTGAGCTGATTTTTCCACTAAACTCAAGGCTGTTTTTATCCTATTTCCTACAATATCTGTGATCACAATGTTACCAATTTCTTGAAGAAGTCGAGCAAGTGATTGCAAAGTCAATTTTGCTGATGTTAATTGCTCAATCGTGCGTACACGTAGCAATGCATCAACTTCCCAATTGTGCAGTTTCAATCCTGGTAAAGGAACAATGGTAACACCATTCAAAAATTTCTAAAAAATTAAATGATGAAACTATCAAAAATCATGATTTTTTTTGTATTATTATTTACTTATATCATTACGTCATAGATAATAAAAAAAATAAAAGAAACTTATAAAAATAGAGAAAGCAATAATTACCGGCTCGGGAATACCTAAGAGAAGTTTTAATTGCGTAAGAAATGTTCCAACAATGGTAGTCTGTTCAGGAACAATGGTAACTAATTCATCAGATTTCATAGTCATACAAGTTTCCACGGGTGGATTGATTAATATTACACCACCCCACCTGTTCCAGGAAAAAATGACAAACACAATATTGTCAATGAAAATAAAAAATCGTTTTATTTGCAAGATTTTCGAAATGATAAATTATGCATTACCTTGGAGAAAGAAATGCTTCAACGTTAGCGTTAATTTTTGATCGATGACCAGAACGTGTGTAAATATATAATGGAGCATTATCGCAAGGAACAACATAGATGACAAAATTAATAGTTGATCGAAGACTAACTTGCGAGGCTAAAAGAAATTTATCACTTATGTTTTATTTTTCATAATAATTAAGTGAAATGAAGATACGAACCTAGTTTCTTTTCCAAAGGTGTGATTAGTTGTGGCAAAACATCTTCCGATAATGCAAAGTGTCTACCTAACGGACTACTATCGGGCACACGTTTCGGAATCACGTCCAAAGGTAACAAATATAACCACTGCGATTTGACCGAAAAATTACTCAAAATTGAAACTTCATCAAGAAAGGGTTCGACATATTCTAAAAGCAAAAAATTAATCTCGCACGAAGAATAGAGAGATTTTTTTCTTACCCACCTTCAACCATCTCGCGAAGATTCCAATCAATCTTCAATTTCTCTGGATCAGGATTAACGACAGTGATCAATATATCATACGCCGGACTAGCCGGAAATCTTCTTCTATTCTCCTCATCTAGATTATAAAGAGTCGGTTCAGTGAGTGCATTTCTTGTTAAAGCCAATGACTTTTCGTGCAACATCCATTCCGATAATACTTGTATCAAAGTGGAAGAAGCTGAAATAAAAACGATATCGATACGAAATTGCAGTCATGGGGGAGATTAAGAATTGTAAGAAAGCAATGATATTTTAAAAGATACTTAATTGACTGCTTACTGGTTTCGGTAGAAAAATAAATAGTTCTTTTCGAACCGACAAGAACTGCATTGTTCAAGTTAGTTGTTTCAAAGAGTAAAAGTTGTCCTACGTCAACATCAAAAGTAGATGCTATCTTCTCTAATTGATGATGCGTAAACGCGAAAGTATTGGATATTACACGATAAATGACCTCTATTTGACAGATACCTGTGACAAATTTTATAGACAAATGAAGAGAGAAGAAAGGAAAGATAAAAAATATGAAAACACAATTTTAAATTACTCACTGGCATTTTTGAAAGCTTCTTTTATATCATGAACCAATAATTCAGCACGATCTCGGGAAAGAGCTAGAACGACAATTTTTGTTTTAATGTTGATTTCTAAGTTGGAAAGTTGCTCAATTCCACCGTAAGGGAGCGGTACACGTGGAACTGCAGTAGTATGCCACCAAAGAGGAACTCCGATGCCCAATAATAGTACAGCAAAGGATATACTCGCGTAAACTCTATACTTTTCTGGAAATTACAATAAGCTATAAGTTAAAAAAAAAAAAAAAAAAGAAAAGGAATTAAAAACGATGTTTAATTTTATATTTACAGTTTGATATACAATTTATTATAATCGGCGATTTCAAGTGAAAAGCAGTTGTTGATGCAAGCATCGAACTTGAACGACTACGCTAGGTCAATGGTAATCGAATGTTCTCCGATTATGGTTACTAACGTTAAATTACATCATCGCGTATACAGTATCTATGTATATCACGTACAGGATACGAAACGTGCAATGAATTTGAAATTTTCTATTCAATCCTTTTTTTTCTTTTAGTCATTTCCTTTCAAATAAGAATCAAAAGGGTACAAGAAGAAGACAAATTTTTCAGCTGGGACAAAAAAAAAGATTGATTAAATTAGTAAAATCATTTAAAAGTTATAAAAATTATTTGCTAAATATATATATATACATAAGCGAAAAAGATGTAAGTTACTTTTTTTTTTTTATAAGATGTTGTTTCAAATTCAATTCAAGAATTATAAAAATTTAATGATAGTATCAAAATAATAAGTACAATAAAATCGTTTCTTTTATATTTAATAATTCATAAATTAAAAGATAATATTAAATTCATTAAAAATTTATATAATATAGATATGATCTTTATATATTCTATAGATATAGATTTTATAGATTTCTCCATTCAATATAACTTAATTTTTTTTAATATTAAATTTTAATTGTGATTTACTCAACATCAAATAAATATCATTCACATTTCTTTAATTATAAATGATCAATTTATTTGAAAAGAAATGATTATTTAATAATTTATTAAATATATTCGCTATATTATATATAATATATAATAGATATATATATATATAACAATATTTTAAAATAATATTCTGTTATGACATCTGTTCAATTAGAGTTTCAGTTATGAAGAAACTTGATAAGAATTTCGTTTTCGATGTATCACACATGATCTTTTTCTTGACTTAGAAGAACATAAATTTTTCTTTTTGTATATATTTCTTCATCGATTTTTTATGAAGTAAGATAAGTATACGATAGAAAATAGGGAGAATATATCTTGTAATACCATTATACAGTATTATGGGTTACATTTTCTACAACTGTTTACCGGTCTATTTGAACCATAAGATGCGTCATGTAATAAACACGAGGACGAGTGATAGCATGAGCGGGATTAATTACTAGAGGGATTAAATTGACTCAAACGCCACGCGTTTATTACATTGAAATGCGTATCTTGTATTGAAATTTTGAATTTGAATTATTTTTATTATTAAATTGATAATAATTATAAACTTTATTTTGTTTTGTTCTTTATTTTGTTTACTCGAACGAAGATTTTGTAATATATATTTTCTATTTCAAGATAACACGAAATTACAAATTTTCAATTATTATTTTTTGTTTTTTTTAAAGATTAATTTGTACAATAATTGCAAAAGCTATAAAAAAAATTTGAATTAATTTAATTTTAATTTTATTGTTTGATTTGCATTTTTAAATTATTTCTTATTCATGATCACTGGCACATTTGCGATCTTGCATCTCTATATCTACAAAATTCAAACTTAATTTTATTTTTATCTTGATGTTCATTCGATTTTAGTCAAAATTTCGCGTCGAATTTAAAGCGCAAAGTATACATCTTAAACTGTGAGTGAAAATTACAGAAAGAAGAAGAAAGAAGAAAGGAAAAGAAATTGATCGATTCGAAATCCGAATTCCACGTGGGTGATTGGTAAGTTTACGTTTGCAAGTAAACCTGCAATAAGAACATCGACGTACCAAGGACGAGAGACGGGGAACGATACGTTTGTCACGAGTTGTTACTTCGTTGAGTTGACTTACCAGTCGTTGGAGAACCAACCAAGTAGGCAGAGGACAAATCACGAGGTAAGTAACGAATAAAAAGCATCAATAATCTGAAAATGGGTAGGAGGTAGAAGAAAAAGAAGGATGAAGAGAACAAGAAATTAGTAGCAATAACAGTGGCAGCAAAAAAAAAAGAAGAAAGAAGAAGAAAAAAGAAACAAGAAGCAGAAGCGACCGCTGAGCAAGAGAAAGAGATCTAAAGGAGAGGGGTGATAGTTTAATCGCCAGTGGTCCGATTATGCGTGCCTAAGCGAAACCGAGCAGTGGTATAAAAGTTCGTGCAACGATCGAGAACTCGATTCGGAAGTCTCTTGGTGAGATCCGTTCTTGAAACAGTATACGAAAATATGCACGGGGGGCAATGATCATTCAACGATATACCGTACAACTCGTAATACGATGGTTCAAAACCCAGTATGCAAAGCGTTCATTGTTCAGATATACGATATCGATTTGATCGGTTCCGATCAGTATTATTCCAGTACGGTGCAATAACTTAACTTCGAAATAATTGAACTTATCTTCCAAATAATTGATATTCGATATTTGTTGATAGAATCGTCAATACAATTATTTGTTTAAAATCACCATAAAATAGAATTCCATAATACTCAAATAATTTTAAAACAAATGTTGGAAATCTTGTTTTTTCGCGGTTTATGATTTTATTTCGATTAGGATTTCACGATATCGATATATCGATATATCGGTATAAGTTCGATATATTGATTGTTTTAAAATCGAATGTACTTATATCGTTGAGTTTATTGCCAATTCGATGTCAGACAAAACGTAAGCTTTGTAACCAACACGATAAAAAGGCAATCTCGAATATTCTGGTGGTAATATAAGGGTATATGTATAAGAATTGAATATACGGATCAATTCATATCATATTCAATTCGAATATGATATAACATATGTTATTTCGTACGCAAAGAGTCGATATAGAGATAGAAGCACAAAAATATTATACCGGTTCATCGGTATCACTGTCGATAAAACTATCGATACATCGATAAAAGTATTCTCTTTGTCTCGAAATCGCTATTTTTAATTCAAGAAAACGCAAAAAAAAAAAAGACTATGATTATTGTATTGAAAGAGCTAAACTTCGTTTGTTAATATGATTTTCGATTTTCACAAAAGAACGCAACGGTATATAATTACTTCATTAAAATATAAGCAAAATTATAAAACAATAGAAAATTAAATCTATTTAAAAAAACGCAAACATGTATATATAATGCAGAACAATTACCAATCATTAAAGTATAAGGAAAAACTTGAATACGATTATGAAAATAGTAAAATGGTCGACAGGGTTAGATGACCCATTGTGCAAGACCTTCGAGGTCAATCTCGTTCAGTGTCACTTAGTGAAATTATTTAGCCTGTAATCCGAGCACACGATGCAAATGGGATCAGAAAGGAGGACAAAGGTAACGGGCAAAGAATAATAAGTTGCGCAATTCTTTGTATCATCGTGTGCCAAATCGATCATAAAAAATACATACTTAATTTCGATTGCCAATCTAACAGATATTTAATGTTATATTAAATATTAGTCAATAATAAGGAATTAATGTTGGAATACTCAAACACGATTATCGTTCGATCATTATTTCAAATTAGCGATTATTGTATGATACGTCATGACATAAATCAACGTTCTTTGCAACGTTCTTTTTTTTTCTGGATAAAAAATTACTCATACAGAAGCATATATCTCGCTTTTTTTTTCTAGGTACATGGCTTTTGGCTAGACAAAAAATAATGGCCACACAATCTATTGATCCATATCCAATAACCACAGATTCTACAAATAGGAGGTACATATTTTTTTTATATTGTAACTAAAGTTTACGTAAAGAAATAAAGAAATATATACTTATTGATTTATATCAGTTTAACGAACTATTTATCTATGAAGTTTTAATATACAAAAGAGATTATAATAATTATTATATTGCAGATGTATTTAAAACTTGAATGTATAAAAATAAAAAGCATATGACATGCAAAAAGATACAAGATATTTAGAGTATTAGACACATTATAATATTTGAAGAATAAAACAAATTCTATTTGAGCTCTGTTTTCTTAATCATGTTCATGAAAATTTGACTTTACGTAAAAATATATAATTTAATAATAATTAAAAAATAATATATTTGTAATAAAATACCGATCAATCAATATCAATCGTCGTAATATTTTTTTTTATTTATATTTTTTCTTTATTTCTTTTTTCCTTTTTATTATTTCCAATCTTCCCTTCATCTTTATTCATTCATCAATGTATTCTTGACATTTATTTTTGTTTGATATGATTGTTTCAGAAAGACCGACAATTGTGGTAAACTGTTGATACAATTTTTTTTAATTTATTGGAAATCGTTTGTAATCATACTATGGCCACTGATTCTATTGCCCATTGTTATCATTGAAACTACCGAGGTTCGTTCTTCTTTTTTCGAATCTTCTATCAATTCTTTTTCTTTTAAATTTGTTTTTACATTATTCATTATATTTAGCCTTTTTTTTCACTTTTTCATATGATCATTATATATATAATATACATCTATTCATTATCGTGCATTATAATACGAAAAAGATTATGTATCGATTGAATGCAGGTAAAAGCGATGCGATGTTTATACGTGATTGGTTTGATGGCAATATTCTGGATGACCGAAGTGCTTCCTTTACCAATCACAGGTTTAATTCCTATTTTTCTTTATCCACTGTTGGGCATAATGAGCACTGGTGACACTTGTATGTGTTATATGAATGATACTACAATGATGTTTATTGGTAGTATGGTGATTGCGATCGTTATTGAAAATTCTGGCCTACACATACGTATCGCGCTATTGATCATTAAATTGATTGGTTGCAGTCATCGAAGGTAATTTAAAATGACTGACATAATCTAAATGTTTTTAATAATCTTTCATTTAGTCTTTAAATCTTATCATACTATCAATTTTTTTATATATCTGTATAAAATATAATAATAATATTATTATATATATATATATGTTTTATTATATATTATATATCTTGTAGTCTATTATCGTTATCTGTTGCTAATATAAATGGACAAAAGATGAAAAAATAATTTGAAAATATAAAATAAATTTTTTCATTTCAAAAAAATTGTTTTTGAAAAAATTGAATTTGAAAATTTATCAGTTACTTAATTATACATATATTATTATTTAATATGTTATTTTTATATGTTACAGAATAATTATCTATTGATAAATTATTTATATTTAATCGAGAAAGAGCTAATTTTAATTGTACTTACAAATTTTTGAAACTTGTTTTATTCAAAAACGAAGTTTCAAGTAAAAAAATTTTATTTTATATTTTCGAATTATTTTTTCACATAAAATCACTTTTGATTATATTAGTTATAGAATGTTATACCATATACATATTTCAAAATAAAATATACATTATTTATAGTACCATATTTATAAGCCATATCATCTTTAGATTAACACTGGGCTTGTTTTGCGTAACTATGTTTTTATCTATGTGGATTTCAAATACTGCTGCCACTACTATGATGTTACCTATTGTCGAAATTGTTCTCTTAGAACTTGAAGCAGTAAGCGTTATTCCAACTTCTAAATGTTTAATTCTCTGTCATCAAATTCTTTTTCAAATTGACTTTATATATTTTTTATCTTTTAATTTTCAGCAAGGTTTGGGTGATATGTTCATACGAGAAGAAAATAACTGTGAAGAAAGTATAGAATCGTGCGTAATCGTTTCATCAATTTTTCAAAGTTCTTCGTTAATAGACGTTAATTAATTTATCTCTATTATTACAGATCAAAGAAACCGACACATATTACTATGACATATTATCTTGTGACAGCGTATGCTTCTAGTCTTGGAGGTGTAGGCACATTAGTCGGAACCGGCACTAATTTAACATTAAAAGGATTCTTTGAAAAGTAAGTGCTCTCTGATAAAGGATCCATTATTAATCTATCCACCGATTTATCAATCGATCGTTCACAGACTATCAAGTACAATGTATTAAGTACAATGAGAAAGCAAGAGAAACAATCGTTCCTTCATGTCGCAGACGGTTCCCAAACAGTTCTGGCATTAACCTAACATCGTGGATGCTTTATTCAGTCCCACCAATGCTTCTAATGGGATTCCTCACGTGGCTTTGGCTTCAAGTTATGTACATGGGAATGTTTAGACCAGGAAGCAAAGACGCGAAAGCTATTAATATTGGCAAACAGGGAGAAAAAGTTGCAGCAACTGTAATCGAAAAAAGATACAAAGAACTCGGCCCGATTACGTGGCACGAATTCTCTGTTGGTCTCCTCTTCCTTGTAATTGTACTACTATGGTTCTTCCGAAATCCGGGATTTGTACGGGGTTGGCCAACTTATATTACCGATTTGTATGTATAGCTTTTTTTTTCTTAATTATCGTTATTGTTATTATTATTGTTATTCTTTTAATCTTTTTTTTTTCTATATCTTTATATACTTTCATTTCCTTTTCCTTTTCATCATTCTTATAGCCTTCTGCTACATAATAGTATTTTACTATAAAAATGTATTTCAACGACATATGTGCGAACAATCTAGTTCTTTATAGACACGTTAAAGATTCAACGGCAGCCGCTGGTGTTACTCTTCTTTTCTTCATATTACCATCTAAACTGGATTTTCTTCGATCATTCGACGCGGATCCTGTTAATCGTCCAACCAAACCATCGCCTAGCATGATTACTTGGAAAATGATTAATACGAAGATGCATTGGAGTTTGATTTTAGTTTTGGGTGGTGGATTTGCCATCTCAGCAGGAAGTACCACTTCCAATCTTTCTTCTATTCTAGGAAATGCTTTAACTATTTTGAAATCAATAAATCCATTTGCGATATTATTTATTGTCTGCCTATTTGCAGAAACTATCACAGAATTGACATCTAATGTTGCAATTGCAAATATTATTTTACCTGTTTTGGCAGAAATGGTAAGAAATTTCAGTTAATAAATTTCTTTTTTCTAGTCATTAATTTATTTTTCAATTATATTTAATTTATTATATATTTATATGTTGTTTCAGTCTATTGCTTTACGAATACATCCACTATATTTGATGCTGCCAGCCTCTTTATGTTGTTCTTTTTCATTTCATCTACCAGTAGGCACTCCACCAAATACAATTGCTATTACAGCAGGTCATATAAAAACTAGAGATTTCGCAATTGCTGGAATAGGACCTAGCATTATAACACTTCTTGTAACAATATTTGCATTTTCCACTTGGGGCACCTACATCTTTAATTTATCTGAGTTTCCTGATTGGGCAACTTAAAGCTGCTTCAGCGTTTCATTATTGTGTTTAGTACATCATTATCACTCAATGTTTTTAATAAATATCAAACTTCATAATCATATACATATATATTCTATTTTCCATTTTATATAGATTTATAAAAAAAATGTAATAAGTATTAAATTTATTATATTAACGAAAAATATAATAACATTATTGTATAATCTTCAATTAACCAAAAATTTTTTAACAATACAAAAAGGTTATTATCAAAAAAACAGAAGTCAAACCAATAACTTACCATCTATAGCCGTATCGTAACCTATAGTATCCATTATTTCTTCATTCATATTGTATTCACTTTATTTTGTTTTATCAATATTCATCACTAAAAAAATACAAATTATATTAATGTATATAATGTGTGTATATATATTTTATGATTAAAGAATACCAAAAAAATTTAACCAACCAGAAATTATATATATATAATTATGTTAATATTTTATACAATAAAAAAATTTTATCTCGCATTATCATATTTTAGTATAAACACATCTTTATAATAAATGAACACTCGCATATGCTTAAAAATAGAACAAATTATAAAATATATTGAAAATTCGTTTTCTTCACAAATTTATCTTTCTTACGATCATTTTCATGAAAATTCCTTTATATACTGTTTATAAATTCGTCCGGAAGAGGGCACATATCTATAAATATTATTTATCTGTGAATTATATTAACTATTAAGGTTTGTTTTCATAAAACGAAAAATCAATAAAAGAAAAGGCATTTTCTATTGAATCAAATATTTATTTTTTTATTATTTTTTTAACTCAAAACGTTAATTAACAGTGAAAAATATATCTTTTAACCACGCAGTTATTTTTGTTACATTTGATTTATTACTTTACTTCTTGGTACGTATATAACTTAATGTAATATGATTTTGACAATATCAAATAATATAGTTTATATTATTTTATCGAAATTTTATCATTATTGAAATCATTTTTTTAAATTCATAAATATTTATTTATTAATATCCTGTTTGAAAATTCGATTTACATTGATATCCGCGTGATTTTTCTTAACCTTTTTTATATTTAAATACATATATTTTTTGTTTTTTAAAATATCTCTTTTTTTTAAATGTTTTTTAACGAATAAATGCAATCGAAGTTATTTTGGATAAAAGTGTTATCCGAAAGTGATAATGCATAACAAGGATTAGATATTGTCAAAAAAGTACTATCTAAAGATGCAATTAAAATTTGTAATGTAGAAAGCAGTTGTGTAAAATTTGGTCTGTTCTGAGGTTCTGTAGTCCAACAAGAATGCATTAACTTATAAATACTTGAAGGAACATTATCTGGTTGTTCTAAACGACCATTTTTATGAACAATATAATGTAATAAATGATCATCTTGTATGTTAGAATAAGGAAAACCACCTAATGTACTAATTTCCCAAAGTACTATTCCAAAAGACCATACATCACTTTTTGAAGAAAAGGCTCTATTGTATAAAGCTTCAGGAGACATCCATCTTATTGGAAGATGATGTGTTTTTTCTTTTGTATTTTTTATTACATATACACCATTTCTTGAAAGCCCAAAATCAGAAATCTAAATATTGTTATTAGATTTTGTTAAAACTTTTCATCTTTAAAAAAAAAATTTTATATGATATTAAGTATTAGATTACCTTCACAGTTAAATCTTCAGTAAGAAGAATATTTCTTGCTGCAAGATCTCGATGAGTAATTCCTTTAGCTTCTAAATGTTCCATACCCATAGCAATTTCCTTAGCAAATTTTAAAAATTGATGTCCTTCCATTTTACCAATCCAACTTTCATTTTCATCTTTTGCTTTTTCTTTATAATTGTTAGTAATATTTATATATTGTTTAGATTTATAATTATTTGTTTTGTTTAATATAGCAGAACATATATTAGTATATAAAGCTGAAAATTAAGATTCTATTAAAATTTTTAAATTTATATTAAATAAATTTATAATTTAGTAAATCATTTACTTTTTGAAACATAAGCTTCACATAAATCTTGTAAAATATTTTGATCATGAGAAATGATTTTTTTATTTTGTTGATTCCTTTGATTATGTAAGTAACTTAATAAATCTCCACCTTCCATATATTCAAGCAAGATGCATATAGGATTATTAGGTTTAATGCAATAACCTATCAGGCTTACTAAATGAGGATGATTTCCAGCCATTATCATCATTTCAATTTCTTGAATAAATTGTTGACGTGTTTCAGAGTCAATAGATAAATCCATTTGTTGAGACATTTTTACTGCAACTAAACTATTATTTTTATCATTTAAATGACCAAGATATACTTTTCCAAATTGCCCAATACCCAATTTACGTATTAATTTTACACTTTCAAATGGCTCTTTTAACTCATTTGTCTGTTCTATATCTCTCTCCTAAAAATCATTTTAATTAATATAAACTAAATATAATAGTTACTCATATAATACACATAAAATTATCTTTTTACTTTTGATTCATGTTTGATATACAAAATGTTATGCTGTTGAAGTATTGTTTCTGTCCATTTGCATTTTGAAAGTGTACATACTTTTTGTTCATCATAAAAAAATTATAATTATATAATATAAAATATAAAATTCCAATTAGAATACAACTAATTATTACTCCAATCAATATAAACCACTGAAAAATATAATTTGAAAAAATAATATCTATAAATATATATAAATATATAAATATTTACATATATAATTATGTAATTATATAATATAAAATATAAAATTCTAATTAGAATAATATAATATAAAATTCCAACTGATTATTATTCCAATCAATATAAACCATTGAAAAATATAATTTGAAAAAATAATATTTATAAATATATATAAATATATATTTATAAATAATAAAAAATATTTTATTATTATATATTATTTTATATTATATAATTTTTGTTAATAATTTACGATTGTAATTTACAATTTTAGTATTTGATGATATAAAATGTATAATAAAAGTTCCTTCTGGTCCAAAGCATCCATAATAATTGACAGCACTAACTATTATTTTATAACCATTTTTAACTTGTATATCTTGATTGTTAATTTTTAAGTCATATAAAAACATAGTTTTATTTACAGGTACCTGCCCTATTTTTGTTACATTATAAACAGGTAGCCCTGTCCTTGATATAAAAAGAGGTATACCTATCCTATGAAATAATATATAAATGTTGAATAAAATCAAACATATCAGTTATATTTAAAGTTTTTTTTGACTTTTAAATATACTTGATTATATAAAATTGAATATTGGATGTATTAAAAGTTGTATTCCAATTTATAACCATTTGATTTCCTCTTTGAGATATATTTACTTTTGGAATTGGTAGTGTTCTTTTAGCATTGATACAATTACATGAATTATTTATGCATTTAGGAACTGTATATAAAATCTGTAGAGTTTAAGAATATTTTTTATTAATTTTATAGAATATAAATATTAATAATTATAAAATTATACATATATTTATTTATATAGTGTATCAATAACTTACTTCAGGAATATTTATTATGTATTTTGTTCTTGGATTAGCAAGAACTTGCACTTTGTAAGAACAATCAGGTTTTATATATAGATCTGGTATATCATCTAAATTACTGTATTCAGGTAATATTACATTAAATTTTTTGTCTTGTTTTTGTTTCAATATATAAAAAAGTGATCCTTCTGAACATTTTATGATATTTGTTTTTTCTTCTATTGATGGTATGCCTGTGATTATAATACTATCATATACAAATATAATACAAAACAAATTAATAATAAATTGATTAAATTTTTTCTTATATTCATTAATGAATATTTACCTATAAAAAGAAGGTTGCTTAAAAGTATTTGGTGGTAACCAAGATATATTCAATTTTAAAAATTTATATGCATCTTGTTTTTCTATATATTTTGGATCTTTTAAAACTTCCACGCTTAAATTCCGCACAGTACCAACATATTCGATCGTGCTTGTTACATATTTTCCATCACATAAATAGAATAAAATGAATATATCATATATGAGTATAAATTGAATTCTTACTAACATTTCATTTTCTAATTATAACAGATTTGATAATAAATAATTACACTATTGCTCTATATTCAATCGTGAAATCAAATGATATAAAATAATATAAAATTTATCGCTATTTTTATAAAACGAAACAAACATATATTGTCCATAAACACTTTATCTGATAATATTTTTCTTAAAAAAAGTATATAAAATTTTCAAGTATGTGATAAGATGATAAGCTTTTAATATTTAAAATTAGAGATATAATTATATGTGTGTATTAACAGTTTGGATTATTTAAAATATATATTGAAAAAAATAATTTTTAAAAATATATCAAAATACATATGAAAGAAAAAAATCAGAATTTTGAATCGAGTTAAAATTTGTAATATATAAATTTTTTTTTTATGAATTATACAATAAATAGTATATTTTAATAAATTGAATTCGATAAAAATTAAAGAAATCAAAAAAATAATAAAAATTAAAAATAATTAATAGCTTATAAATTTTTTATGAAGAAAATAAATAATTTTTTTTTTATTTAAATAAATTATTTTTTTTTTAAACATTACAGAAAAATATGGCCTCGGCTACTATATCACCAACCGAAGACGATGAATTGACCTTACCTCGTGCATCGATCAATAAAATGATCAAAGAAATTTTACCACATGTACGTGTAGCGAATGAATCTCGAGAATTAATATTAAATTGTTGTACAGAATTTATTCATTTACTTTCTTCCGAAGCAAATGAAATTTGTAATCAACAACAAAAGAAAACTATAAATGCTGAACATGTTCTTCAAGCACTCGAAAAACTTGGATTTGGAGATTATAGTGCAGAAGCGGAGGCAGTTTTGCGAGATTGCAAGGCTGTTGCAGCTAAACGAAGACGTCAAAGCACTAGATTAGAAAATTTGGGAATTCCAGAAGAAGAACTTCTTAGACAACAGCAAGAATTATTGCAAAGGCAAGAGAAGAACAAGCAGTAGCAGAACAACAGCAATGGCAACAATTACAAGCAGTTGCACAAATGGCTTCAATGCAACAAGTCGATAGTGAACAAGAAGATTACTCGTAAAAGTTTATAGTTTTATATTAATATATTTAATCGAAATCAATTCATTGACAACAAATAAGAGATGATTGTTTTCATTCTAGCAAATTTGAAATAATTGCAACGATGTATCATTTTAATTTTTCTTTGATTTATTCATTATATATCATTACTTATACATAACATTCAAAAATGCCAGAAATTGCTTTCGCATTTTTATGATTTTAGGATCTTATTATGAATTTAAATAAGTAACAAAATATTATGATTTTTTTATATAAAATGCCTAAAATTACTTGATACATTATACATATATTCTTTTGCAGAAATAATGTATAATAATACATTTATATCATACATTATTGAAAATTATGGCATTAATCTTCCATACTCGGAAGAAAGATGACTTTTTTTAATCGCTTCCATTACTTTTGAAACATAATGATACCTAGATAATTCAATTACAAAGTAATTATTATAACGTACAATGAAAAAAAATTAATTTTTTTAATTTGTTACACTTACCAATTTTTTTCTGTTAAAGTAGATGGTGTCATTGAATTTCTGTTAACACCATGTATTTTTGTTTTTAACTTTTCTATTAGTTTTTTCCCGTTTTGACGCATTGTAAATTCTTCTACAATTAAAAAAAAAAATTTAATCAAGACAAGCTTTAAAACATTTTCAATGTTTAAGTGAAAGTAAAATAAATAGAATGATGAAATATTATACCTTCATTTGTAATACGAGGTATAAAAAACAAATTTAATCCTGCCTCCATAGAATGATTACTCATATCCAAACCACTATGAATTTGTAATCTAGAACTGGAGAATAATTTAGTATAAAATTCCTGTAAGTATAAATAATGAAATATCAGTGTAACTTTTCAAATTAACCATTTATTATTATTTTTAATATAAAAAGTATATGTTTTAATAACATGTATTAAAAGTATATATATTACTTTACCTTCACTTTTTCCATATTATGAGGAGTAAAATCTTGTAATTCAGCTTTATTATGTAAAAATACAATGTGTGGATAATATTCAACATAATCTTGGTCCATATTACTAGTTGAAGATGGTTTTAACATTTCTGCAGTTTGTAAAAATCTATGAAATATAATAAATTTTAATTCTCATAAAAATTTATAACAAAGTAAAATTATAAGATTATGTTCACTATACCTAACTAAATTTGGATCTACGAACCAATCTTGTACAAATATAATAACATGACAAACTGAAAAAAGAAATGCTGCAAACTGTGAAGATTGTAATTCTAAATTAGTTTCTGTATTTATAAAATCTGTTGTAGGTTTTTTTTGATCATAAGTTGTTGAATAATCTATTGTAGATCCAGACAGTATTGGTTGTGTATCTAAATATATTACACGATTTTTTGTTACAAAAAAGTCAATACCAATAGTACAATTTGCACCACTTTCATGATGTAATGTATCTTGAATTGGAAAAATACCAGTCCTATAATAATAAAAAAATGAAACAGAAATGATTTTCTTTAAAAATAAATACAAATAAAAATACAATATTTGCTTAAAGTTTTTGAAATAATACTGACGCAATGTTACATGTTAAAAGAGACATTATAGTTGATTTTCCTACACCTTGAGCTCCTAAACATCCTACAACTAAAAAATCTTGTTGATCATACAAGAATTCAAGAGGATATTCACAGAGTTGCATATTTTCATCCATAAATTTTACACAACTTGTCATTTCAAGACATGTTGGTAATACAGTCCGAATAGCTACAAATTACAAACCTATTAATATCATTGTATTAAAAATTGATATTTAAAATTTAAAATAAAAAGAAAATACTCACGATCTTGTATTTTTGATGAAACATTGGAAGATACATCACCTTCTTTTCTATAATGATATTATAATTTAAAAGTTTAAATATAGTTTAAATTTTTTTTATGCAAGAAACTATTTGTAAGTACTTGTTACCACCATTACGTTGATTTGGAGACACAGCTCTGTTTTCACCTTCTCTAGTTTTCAATATAAATGTTGGGCGATCTATAACTTTAATTGTGCCTCTGCTATCGCAGTCTTTCACGTCTGAATCTTTAGATGTAATTGGCATCATTTTTTGTACATTCATCGCTCCCAATAATATTTCATTCTCTAAAATATTTATATAATAAATATTTTCACTATTAAAATTAAAAACAACTTTTATAAACAAAATCTATTAAGTACATACCTTTCTTTTAATTATTTATTCGTAAAAATTGTTCAGATTAAATATGTTTTCGACATAAATAATATATATATAGGTTACACAACTTTGCTATTAAAGCTAAAAATAGTAATTATTATAATAATATATTGTTATAAGAAATATTCAACATATATATTATTTTAATAAAATAAATTAAAATTATATATATCTTTTCTTTTAATTATATTTTTTCATAAAATGAAACTAATAATGATGCGATCTATTACATCTCTTTTCATAAACAAATACAAATTTTTATATCATAGTATTAAATATAAAAGAAAATAATAAAAATTATCATTAAAAAGAAAAAATAAAATTTATTATATTTAGAAATTCTCAAAATGAAATTTTTTTAGACATTTTTACATTAAATATTTGAATGGTTGGAAAATAAGAATATTTTAAAAATTTATTTAATATAAATTTATATGATTAATATAATAAATTACGAAAGAAATTATAGTAAATAAAATATAACAACTTGAAATTTTCATTCTATAATATCATCGATATATTTTTTCATCTAGTAATTGTTACTATACACAGTTTTAAGACTATATACTACATGGCATTAAGAATAATATTTTTGTTGTCATTTGTGAGATATATCAAATTCATTATATGCATACGATTACATTAAAATAAACGTATTTAAATGCTTACAATTAATAAATATTTATATAAATGTTGCTTATAAAAGGAATAAAAGGAATATTATAAAGAATTGATTTAATCTTTTCATTAATATATAAATGAATTTGTTTAGGTCATAGCAAATATTTTTTTACAATGGCTAACAGTTTAGCAAAAGTTTTTGCAACTGAAGATTTTAATCCTGAAAAATGTAGGTAAACACTTATAAATTTTTGTTATAAAAATTATAAAAATTATAAAAATTTTAGATTTTATAAAACATGAAGTGACATTTGTTTTGTTTATAGTTGTAAAAGAACTTAGCGCACAATGTGTGGGAGCAGATGAATTAAGACAACAAAGAGCTAAAATTCAAGAACTTGCAAATAATACTTCTGCACAATTAAAACGTAATGTTTATCAAAATTATATGCAATTTATAGAAACTGCCAAGGAAATTTCACATTTAGAAAGTGAAATGTATCAGTTATCTCAATTACTCAGTGAACAACGTTCATTGTTAAGTACATTAGGATCTACCAGAACTACTGGTGTTACTTTTGAAGATTTATCTGAATCCCAATTAGAAAATATTAATGATTCTAGTACTAAAGAAGAAGAACAAAAACAAAAATTAATGCAATTACTTGAAAATGTAGAAGGTGCTATGGTAAGTTATTAAATTGTTATTTTTCTAAATTTTTAAATTAATAATAATAAATGAAAAACATTCATAATAATAATTGTCTTTTAATTTCATAGAGTTTAGCAGAAATACCTGGTCGTATATGTTTACATGAAGGGTCTTTGTTAGAATTAGATCCATTAGAGGGGACTCCATTAAAGAGAGTTCATGCATATTTATTTACTGATATTCTAATGATTGCTTCTTGGTTAGCAAATGGAAATAGAAGAGGACCACCAAAATATAAAATGCAAGCTGTTTATAATCTTGAAAGCTTGGCAATTGTTAATGTTAGAGATCTTGGAACAGTAAAATTAGCATTCAAACTTTTAGCATTTTCTGATACCAGAGTGTTTCAATGTGCAACTGCAACAAGTAAAGTTAGTATATTATAAAGATAATATTCATAAAAGATATTTTGAAAAAAATATAATCATGAAAAGATATTATAAATTATAATATATTTTTTAGAAAGAATGGTTAGATAAATGTGAACAAGCAAAAAGAATGAAGTTGATTGAAGATAATCCAAATGAGACAACAGAAAATAATAAACGTTCAAAAGAAGAGAAAATAACGATGCCTTCTCGATCGATGTCACTTGATTCGAATACTCTCGGTATGATCGATAATTTAATAAAATTTATATAATTAAATTAAATTAAATTTCATTGATTTTCTTAGTTATTCTTTTATAGGTATAGATGATGAAGATACAGAATATCATGAACCACCACCAGAATGGATATTAGAGGTGGCAGAAGATTTAGATTCTTGCATAGCACAACGTCATTTTGAGGAAGCTTATAGTCTTTTAGAAAAAGCAAAAACCTACTTAAAAGATGCACAAATAACACCACTTTTATTAGAAATCCAGTTAAAGGTAAATGATAGAGGAAAATCATTAATTGAAGTTTTAACAAAAGAACTTGAATTAAGTGCAGAAGCGAAATCATTACAAGGTGGTGGTTTAAGAAGTGCTCGTCGCGTAGTAAAATTATTGATACAATTAAATAGAAATGCTCAAGCCTGTCAATTATATTTGCGACTATGCAGTGCTATGTTAAAAGCACGTTTAAAACGAGTTAAAAGAGAAGGAGCTATTGCACCTTATGTGAAACAACTTAGTGCAATTGCTTTTAGTAATATCGTTGAAATCACAAAAGAATTCTTAAAACTTTTTCCACAGTCAACAAATTGTACATCTGGTAAGAAAGTCATGAATGAATGTTATGATTTGAAATCAAATCGTTTCTTTTAATTTTCTCCATTTTATATAATTTTCTTCATTAGGTTTGGTACTTTGGTGTAGTCAAGAAGTAAAATACTTAACAACACATTTAACTAAGCAACTTTTTATTCCACAAGTATCTCTAAGCACATTAGTAGAATGTATTGTTTGTGTCCGAAGTCATTGCGATCAGGTACGGTAATGATACGGCATTGATATTAATTTTTGTTTTATATATGTTTTTGAAATAACAATCTTTTATAAATCGTAATAATATAATTTTGTATTATATATTTTATCTCGTAGTTAACGCAATTAGGAATGGATTTTCGTTATCAATTGGATGGTCAACTCAGATCCCCATTAGCAAAAGCTATACAAGATACTGGTGAAAAATATGTTGATACTGTGAAAGAATATATAGCAAAAGATACGTGGCGACCAACTAATTTAGAAAGTTGCAAAAATGTTCAAAAATTTCTATCAGAATTTGATGATCTTGGAATAACTGTTCCATCATCTTATATAACAAATGATTGTTGGATTGCATTAACTGATAATATTTTAACTTTTTCAAAAATTTATGTAAGTCTACTAGAAGATTGCCTTAGCGTTGCTACACCTGAATTAATGGCAATAATAGATTCAGTTTTAATATCAGTTATGCGAATTCAAGTACAACATATAATAGTATCACTTACAAATCCAAGATTAAAGCAAGAGGTAATTGTCTTTTTTTTTATGTTACTTTTTTTTATCGTAATCATCATAATAATATAATATCTGAATAAATATTTATTTCTTTAATGTTTCTTTAGAAACAATTGGTGCAAGATAATGCTTCATATATCCGAGATATTTTAATTATGCGTGGATTAGAGTTATATAAATCAACAACAAATCAAGTTTTTAAGAAATTGTTAGCTTTAAAGGAACAAATCGTATTTGATTTGTCTCCAAATAAACCAAAACCTGCTCCTAGAACTTCTGTACCTAAGTATTCTACCACAGAATATATTTAAAATTATAAAACAAAATATAAATATACACATAGAAATGTAGAAAACTGTTTGCAAAGGAAGTAATAGAATGTTTCACAATGTACATGCTATTTGTATTATACTGTATATATAAGTTAATCTGAATTTTTTAATAAATACATATATTGCATTTCAGTATTTTTCTGTTTCTATCACAGGCACATAAAATAATATTAATATATACATAAAATAAGTAAGTGCATGTATTACAATCAGTAAAATATGAATAACTTTGCATTTAAACATTTAATTTTATCATATTATTAATCTGAAATATTTACAAGTTAGAAATTAAATAAGTATTAAATATTTTACATAATTTTAAACATTATTTTATTTTATAGTTTCATCTTGATGGTTTGACTCCTTGATACTCATTTCCAATTTTCTTTTCTTAGCCCGTATATCTGCTAATGTTTGTTCTATACTTCTTTGATCTTTCTTATTTTCACTAGGAACTAGAATAAATATTAATTAAATAACCAAATATATTTAACAAATATATATATATATATATCTAATAACATAATTGTTTATTTACCACAACCATAACTACTATTAGCTTCTGTTTTTCTAGCTGCTTCTAAAGCAGCTTCCTTTCCAATTAAATGTTGATATTTATCTTTATAATAACTATTTGGTACAAAATTATCTTTTCGTTTTTTGGGTTTAGTAATAGCCTCTTCCTCTTCTTTGGCTCGCCTTTCTCTCTCCTCTATTAATCTTTTTGCTATTTCTTCATTCCATTCTTCTCCTCTGCGAAGTGCATTTAACTGATCTTCAGATGGAGCATGTTCTCTTTTAAAAATCACAATATGACGGTCAATGCCTTCTTCACCAAATGAATATGCCCATATATTTGCTACTTCAGCAACATCATGTCTATAACATAATAAAACATCAAGGTATCATTCAATTATAATTAAAATTAATAATTAAAATGATTGTTTTTTTTATATTTTTATAATATACATTATACTCCTATAAATTTGATCCATTGGTGGAAATTTGTATTCCTTTGCATTGTCATCTTGAAGAAATTTATTAATTTTCTCTTCTACCTGAATCAACATAAAAGAAATAATACACATATAACCTCATTTAACAAAAATTGAAATATAGACGCAAAATTTAAACCTTTTCTCGAAAAATTTTTAATCTTTCAGCTTCTGCTTTTTGATGCTTCTGATACTCCTCTTTTTGCTCTATGTAATAAAAGTTATTTTATAAATATTAAAATAATTAATTGATCAATTATAATATAGGTTAATTATTTTAACTAACTTTTCATTAAAGCCTTTTGTCTGTCACTAATTGTAGGAGGTTTATCCATTGAATTAAGAATAGATCCTAGTAAATCCATGATTTTTAAGTATAATGAACTAAAATAAATTTGCATATACGAAACGAAAAAATTTCGGAAACAAATTTTTCCTTATTACGTTTAGTTTTATCAGACGCAACAGCACGATAATACTTAGCAAATTCTCAATGTATTAGCCAATGACAATTGATTTCATATAAATATGCTATTGGCTTAATACTCATTAACAAAAACAAAAAAGATATGATATATATTAATTTAATGATAATATTTATTAAAAAATAAAAATATTTATTAAAAATAAAAATAATCAAAAATTGGAAATAAATTAGATATATTTATTATAATAAATATACATATTTAATTATATGTAGAATTTAATAAAAAGTTAATAATTCAATGTTAACTTTTTTTTAATATAAGTTTTCTCTTTGAATATAATTATAGTAATGATTAATTTAAATTAATTTTAACATGAATTATAATTTGGAAATTTCTAGATAATGAAGATATAAATGTTACTCTGATTTAAAATATGATCAATTACATATATATATATAAAATGAAAAATATACAAAAAAATATTTGGTATAATTAGATTTATCAAAATATAAAAAATAATTAAAAAAATTGACATTGTCCTAATGTAAGGATCAAGATACTGCCTATAGTTAGGAGAAGACAAAGGTATCTACCCGTAATTGGTACTCTGAAGAGTTTAGCGCACATTTTTAATGACGATGTATACAAAAGTATAGTATCAAGGTCTTCACCTGGAGTGCTTTGATATACGAATGGTCTAATTCGTACTTCGTGTCCGATACTTTGAATCATAGAACAAGCAGCAGTTAAACGAGCTGCCTATTAAAAAAACAAAAGAAATTCAAATGTTCTTTTTTTCATTTCGAATTTTTGAATTTTTGAATAATATCAAATATATAAGTGTTTATTTTGATCGTATTTTTTATAGATAAACATACCTGAATAAAGGGAGCTATTGATATTAAAATCCAAAGAACTACATTTATTATACCAATCCAAGTAACATGATTATTTTGCATATCACTATTATCATACTGAAGCAACCAAACAATACTAGTGGCTGCCCATGATAAATTTACAATTGTGTAAATACATACTGCTAATCCTAATTCATCATTGAAATATTTCAATAATTTTTTAAATTCACTAATTTCCTGTAAAGTAAATGCAAAGACCTGAATTGTATTCTTCTTTTTCTTATTCTTTTGTTTTTAATTTTTTAATTTTAGTTTTATTTTTTTTATCAATTATAAATTAAAAGAAATAGTTATTTATAAAAGTAGATATACAAACCCTCATCCAATCAATAGGAGATAAAGTATGATAAAGTAATTTTCCACGAAGGAAATATAAATGTGCTAGTAGAAGTTGTCCTTGCAAACAATAGCTAGTAATAATTGTTCCTTGAACCATATCATGCCATAATGTACAGACAATTAAAAGTATCTTCAATATTATTTTTACTTGATTTGGACTATACACAAAATAAATTTGAAAGAAACATAAAATTTTAACAATACAAAAATAATTACTTTAAATGAAATGTTTCAATGTTTCATGTTTCAAAATATGAAATTAAATATAGTTTAAAAATGAAAAAAATGAAATAAAATAAATTTTAATTATTATATTTTATATTAACAAAAATTTTATGTAAAAAATTACCTGTATTCTAACCATTGAAATATAATACTTTCTTGGGCCATTAACACATTTACTGTAATTAATGCCATAATTATCCATACAAGACTCAATGCTATAAATAACCACAGTATCCATACAAGTTTTCTTTGATTTCCACGATTTGCAGGATTAGATGATAGAAGAAATGCTCTTTCCATTAAATTTTGTAATTGTTCATTTTCTTTAATTCGAAATAGATATATAGTATATAAGTATGCAATTAAATGTAAAATACTGGGAACTAGATAACTAAATATAACATTTCCATAACAAATAACTTTTTCTGAATGTTGCTTATTGCTTATGTTGGATGTCATTTGAAATTTCAAAGACATTGTTTTATAACAAAAGCCTCTATCTCTTCTGAAAAATTAATTACTTAAATACTTAATAAAAGTTATATTAAGAATACTATATTAGATATTACCTAAAACATGCCATATATTGTAAAATATATCCAATACACATAAATATTGTGACCTGAAAAGTATGAAGATTTCCAAAAATACAATAACAAGAACATCGTTGTGAATCATCATTACTCATTGGTTTTAAACCCATTATTCCTAATAATGTCAAATATGGTTTTAGTATTTTATGTTTACAATAATGAAGTACTGCAGATGTGTTTAATATTTCAAAATTTGGCATTTCTGTGATTTCACCAACCTATCAAAAAATAAAAATTATAATGTATAATGACATATATGACATTATATATTTACATATTAGGATGAAAATTATTAAATAATCTTACTTCTGTACTTTGCATTTGTAAATCTGATAATCCAGATGGTGTAGATTCTTGTACTGTTTCTTCATGATTTTGTTGAGGAGGATCTTTTCCATTCTTTGATTCATTATGTGAACTTGCCTGTAAAGAATAACAATCAAAATATAATTAAAACACATAAAATAATTTTGTCATTTAATTTTACAATATTAGAAAATTATTAAATTATTTATAATTATTAAAAAAAAAAGTTTAAAATAACAATATAATTGTTTTTTTTTAAATATAGATTTTATAATCCATTAAAATTGAAAATAAAATAAATAGTTAAATTATAGATTTAGAGAATTAACGATTTAAATCTAGATATAGACAAATCAAAATAAACAATACTTATTATATAATAAATTATAATAAATAAAAAATAAAAATATAATAAATAATAAAATAAAATATAAAAAATAAAAATAATCATTTTGGATTTCTCTTTAAACAAATATATTAAATGTTAATTTTATAAATTAAAATTTAATAGTAAATTTACGGTAAAATCGGTATATCATATTATATTTATTACATTATGTGATAATCTATATATGTAATTAATAAAAAAAAAAGAATTAAATTAAATATAATACAGAACTTACTAATGTCATTTTTCTTGACAAACGAATACGATACTTTTGAACTTGAAAAGAAAACATTTGTATCACTATTTCGTATGATTCACCCTAATGTATGAATTTCATTATATCACTCTTTTGAGATGACACTTCACCTCTGTCAAGATATCTACATACATCGCGTCAAAATAAATTATTTTATTCAAGCTATAACTAACTTCTAGTACAGGATGACACCAAGGAATATAAAAAAAAGTTGTTCTTCAAAATAACAATGATAATAATATAAAGATATTTTGTTTATTAAAAAAAATAATTATTTAATATTTAATAAAATAATTACAATAAATATTAACGTTTCATCCTTTTCAAAATTCCTGCTGGTCTTAATAGATGTTTATATCCTTTTCCATGTCTCTCCACATGTAATTTCCTTCGTCCTGTTTGTTTATTCTGTAAATAACATAGATATAAGAATAGATTATAGATATATATATATATATATATATATATTATTTTCAAAACGTATGTATACATGTATATATACCTTTCCACTAATAAAAGTTATTTCTCTATTTCCACGAGAAGCAGAAATTTTAATATCATCCGTTTCATGACTCTTCAGTCTTTCTCCTAAAGTAGTCCTAAAAAAAAAAAATAATAATGATAACAATGATAAAAAAATTCAAAAGTTTATATTAGATGTTTAGGAATTAATATTTTTTAATCACATATATACATATATATAATAATATACATACTTATTTTGTTTCTTTGCTATAGGTTTTGCATCTTTGAATTCTACATTTTCTTTAATTTCATAAAGTTGAGGTTCATTTTCAATATATTCATTATTATTTTCTTGTATTCGTTTTTCATTCTTCTTTATCAATCGATATTGATTTTTCACTTCTTTAACCCATAATTTTTCATCTTCTGAACTACTATCATCATGGATAAAACTTTCATCTGAACTATTATCTAAAAATATAAATTTTCTTATTGAATTAATTAAATACTATTTTTATTCCATTCAAATCAATTTTCTAATATTTAATCTAAATTTGATATCTATCTATCAATTTTATCAAAATTCTTCTTTTCAAAAATCTTATCAATTTTATCAAAATTGATAATATTGAATAATGTTTCAAATGAAAATTAAATAATTTCAAATAGTATATATTTAATGTAATTTTATGTTGAATGTAGAAAATATATGAAAATTAATTGTTTTTTCAAATAATATCATATAATTTCTTATATTAATCGATATGCAAGTATATGTATAAATTACATAAAAAAAGACTTAATCATTACTCTTTGAAATTATTCTATTCTATTCTATTTAAAATATTTTTTAGTATTATCAACAATCTTGTAGTTGTTTTAAAAATAAATAATTTAAATTTAAAAACGAAACAATATATATATATATAATACATATGTAATAAATATATCTATATTCATATAACCATAATGTTCGTTTTCCACATTATCAATTTCTATTCTTTCTTCCATTTCTTTTTCAGCTTCTTTAGCCTTTAGCTTCTTTGCCTTACTCTTACTGAGTTGTGAAATGACAGGGTTTAATAATAAGTATTCTTCCGAAGTTTTGTCTACTTGAAAATCTGGATTAGTAAATAATTCTTTGAAACGTTCATCTGTTAGAAGATTAGAAGAACTTCTTTTCTTTTTTTTTCTCATTTGTTTCATTATCCATTAATTTTAATGCAAGTTCTTTATTTACAATTGGTATTTTTTGAATCTATAAATATATATAAATATATATTAAAAACATCAAATAAATTATATTATAAAGTAATAAAATATTCAATACCTGTACTCTACTACTGCAAGTTTCTTCTATTTTTTGTTGTATTTTTTTCTTTTTATATTGTTCAAATTCAAATGGTTTCATTACATCTCTTGCTTTTCTATATAATCGCATATCTATAAAGTAACCATGCATGTAAGCTCTAAGAAGATTGGTGCCTTTTAAATGTGAAAGACCTAATTCATCCAAATCTTTCTCAGTTACAAATTTATAATCATCATAGATTATTTCATAATTTAATTCTTCTAGTTCTTCTGTAAGATTATCTAGAAAACTGCACCACGAAGGAGCTGGACCAAGACTTGGAACATAGAATGTTTGTATTTTTGTATGTTCATTAGCAATTAAAAGCATTCCTGTGTTTGGTATAACACACATATCATTAAAATCATGTTGTGCTTCTATAGATGTATATAATTTACCTGTAAAATATTATTTTAATATTTAAAAATAATATTATTGTTATGTATTGTTTTCTTTTTCACATTTTATTATTGAGTATTATAGTATTGAATCATAAATTTTATTTACACTATTTTTTTCCCATATTTTTACTATGGAACTATCCATAGAATAAACTATATCCATTTTCTTATGGAATTCAATATTTTTAACAGGCAAACCATACATATGATCTTTTATTAAAAATGGTTTGTTTGAACGAATATCATATAATAATACTTGTCCAGTTGATGTGCCCACTCCAAATGTTAAACTTCCTTGAAATTTTAAACTAGTAATTGCAGGAATTTTTTCTAATCTAAATAATAATAGAATAAAAATTTTATTGTTATAAAACAAATATTATTATAAAAACTATATTTGAAAATAATATAAAATGTTGACATAATTGACATAATGTATATCTTACTTGTTATCTTGATTAATACAATGCAAAGCACAATCTAAAGTACCAACTTTATTTCTAGCACGAGGATCCCATGCTTCTATTGTTCCATCTTCTGTTCCAATAACAAGAAGATGATGTATAGGATTTATTTCACATTTATTTAATGATGATGCCTCTGTTAAAAAAGACTGTAAAAATTGTCCTCTTTCAAGATTTATTCTATAAATCTCGTTACTGTAACAAATTATATACATATTGCAAATTAATGAAATACATTTTGATTATTTAAACTCTTAACTAAAAATTATAACTTAAAATATTATGCACCAAACCTATCTCCGACAACAAAAATATCACAAGATGGATAATGATATTTCATATCCCTTCCAAAACGAGGTACTCTAAGTATGTAATATTTTCCATGAGCAACATGAAATTGAATACTTCTATCACAACATAAAAATATTAACTAAAAATAAAAAAATAATTAGATATTAAATTTAATTATGAAAATATAATATATATAATGAAAATACATACTTTACTATAATCATCTGATAGTATCTCAAAAGTAATAGCTTCAGAATCAAAACATCTTTCAAACTTTAAAGATAGATTCTTTACATCAAAACATTTAACACGTGGTTTATATATACCTGTTGCTAAAATATATTGTCCATCATTTGTAACTTTGATAGAAGTACTAACACCAGGCATATCAAAATCTTGAATAAGTTCAATTCGACGTCGTATATCTATTATAATATTATGATTATATGTATATTTTATCATATTATTATTACATTTGATAAAACATTTATGAAACTTACCAATATTTTTTTTTAATAAAGCACGTCTCTTTCGTTCAGATAACCACTGAAAAAAATTAAATGATGAAATAATGGAAATTATAAATATATAGTTATACGATGATTTATTTAAAACAATAAAAATAAAAAGATTTACCTCTGGAAGAGATTTCCCAGCACTTAAATTATATATTTTTACATTGTTTGGACAAGATACTTGCATTTTGAAAAGAGATTTAATAGTACTAAAATCTATTAAATTTATTATTCATATTCAAAATTAATTAAAAATTAATAAGCAAAGCACGTGTACAATTTTTCTTACAATGCAAAAATATGTATATATATGTAAGTATATATCATGAACCTATGTATATATATTTTTAGAGAAAGATGTCGCTATAACGTTCTTTGTTCTGTATAAAATATAAAAATGATTAAAGAGAATGATAAAGAATGAATGTTAATAAATTAAATAATAATCATTTTGATTATTGTTTTATTAATTGAAAAGTATTAATTTCAATATAAAAAAAATTAAAAATATATTAAATTAGCATTTGAAATCGATAGATATAGTTGCATAAAGATATAAAGGAATAGAAAATAAAATTTTTATAAAACAATAAAAATAATAAAAAATATTAGATAAAAATTGTATCATTTAATGTTAGATTTAAAAAGAGAAAAAGAAATATGAATATAATATATAGTTTTCATCAAAAAAGAAAAAACTTATTCTGATTTTTACATATTGATTGCAAAATCTAAAAGTTGGCACAACTGTGTAGTCAATTACCGGCCGGTCATCAAGAGTGGGGGAAATACGATCATCGGCACCCGTGAGTCTGGAGGGGCCAAGAGGGGTCGCTACAAACCACGAAGAGACGAGAGGAGGGGCAAGAGAGAAGTGTGGCCGGCGTTCAGCGCATATAGGTAGTCGTGAGAAGAGTCAGTCGGTGACGGGTAGTGTCTTTAGTGGCGTGGTGAACGATTGAATTGAGCCGCTTGTGTTAAAAAATGAGCTGGCAGGATTACGTTGACAAGCAGCTGCTCGCGTCTCGATGTGTTACCAAAGCTGCGATTGCAGGACACGATGGCAATCTTTGGGCAAAGTCTGAAGGCTTCGAAGTGAGTATATCATTCGACTAATGTCTCGCAAGCTTATTATTAGCTAGGCGACAAGAGGGAAAGTACGCACTGAATATATCTTGAAGAAATTTAGATATATAATAGCAGTAGTTTGTATTTGGTATTTTTTATTTCTTTTGATTTTCCTTTAAGCATTATTTATAACAAGTATCGAATATTTTCCATTTATTCAGACTTCAATCGCGTAGAATTGGATATATCTAGCATATAATATATTAATATGTAATGTATGTATTTATTTGTAATAGAATTTTATACGTGTTGGTTAAGTACGTACAAGTTTTAATATATTTTATTGGAACTGAAGTGAATTTTGCAAAATAACATAATATTATATACACATACACACATACCACCACCCACACTACCACACACGCACACACATACACACAATATATATAATAATAATATAATAGTAATTTTACCATGAATAATAATACCGTGTAATTATTAAGATAATTAGTTCTTCCAAAACAAAGAAATACACATTCTCGTGTGTTTAATAAATAGCAAAAATCGTTCAAGTTCCGCGTGTTGACCCGGCATGGTTGTTCCCTCGTGTTAGCGACGCCGGTTAGATTGTTTAATAATCCAAATTAAGTTATGGGATATAGTTGAAATTCATCATTATATAATATGCAATAATTGACATTTTTGAAAATCTCCAGAAATTTTGTCCACCGCCCAAATATGTCTGCAGCAAAGAGCCGGCCATCGTAGATGGTAATATTACTGAATCGATTGAAAAAACTAGTAATAGAATGAGTAAATATATATTTCTCTAAAAATTTTGAAAAAAAAATTCACTTGATACATTTAAAAAAGGAATCTGACAGGCTAGGGTGTGGCAATTTTTACTACAGAAAATTTTGCCTGGTCGAACTTGAATGGTTTTCGACTAAGTTTAACATGGCTGCCTGCCGGGCACGTTGCCACTGCCGCCCATAGAAATGGTGGCTCTTATTCTCAGTGGTGGCTTCTATTTTTTGTTGAAACTGATTCATACTTAAAATTTTTTCATTAGTTACAATGCACAGTAGCGAATATCTGAGAACTAACGAAAATTTGAACATTGATGTTTGTTACGAAGCATGACTCATTTCGGAAACGATTCTCTGTTATCATATATATATATATACACACGTAGAAACGCCTACGTGTTCAATGCATCAATCTTCTTTCTCTTCTCTTTTCTGTTTTTAAAATATTTGTTGAATAAGTAAAAAATGAAATAAAGATTTTATTACGTATATGACATACGTCATATGATAATTTGTATTTTATACAATTTAAATTTTCAAGTATTATCTTAATTATTTAAGTGTATTTAATTATTAAATTTATTTGAATAATTAAATTTTTAATGTTTTATATTTTTTTCCATTAAAATTCTAAATTTAATATTAGAAAAAAGGATCAGGGACAGTTCTAGAAAAGTTGACTCTGATCGACGCGCCATCTGCATTACATTTAAAAAGCTTTTATGATCATGTCGGTAAAATTTAAGAGCCTTGAATTAGTCGTGTTAGTGAAATGAAATGATAGAGGTCAGTTAAGAATATTGAGAAAGTTTGAATAAGTGGATATTAAGATATGGGAAATTTATAGAAGTTAAATTTTTCTTTGAATATTTATTTGAATTTTGATAGATATATTATAAACGCATTGTAAAATCTTTTTTTTAAGAATAAAATCTTTTTTTATTTTCATTAATCAATTGATAACATAGATTTTAAGATTATTTGTATAATCAATTATGATTTTACTATATTTGCAATAGCCATCTTGAATTAAGACAAGATTAAAAATTAATTTTGAGAGTGCATAATTCGCAAATGAAAATTTCTGTCAAATGTGAACAAGCGCCTCAATGTTTCTGGGAAATAGCAATGCAAGTATGAAGCGTGTTCGGTTACAAGGTAAAGCAGTTCTTTCTTGATTTCAAAGAAAGGTTCTATGCGGAGAGACGGTAAAACGTAGAGATAAAGGTCGCCAGCTGCACCGTGGCCTCGCACGCGCGCACACACTTTCCGGTTACGAATGCCAAAATGGCGATGCCGGCCGGGCAGCAACCTCCCACAGTACCGTACCTGGAATCGCGAAATGGTCGTTTTGGCGCCCGATCAAATTTCTAATAAAATCTTGTTATTTCATTTTATTTCTAATTTTAATCATTTATTTATTTGGAATTTACATCATCTTGAAAATATAATATCACTTAATTAAAAATGTTTTAATAATTAGATCATAAGATAATTAAATAATTAAATAAATAGAAATTTAGATTTAAAAACTTGAAAATAAAACAAATGAAAGAAAAAGAAAAAAAAGTAATATTTATTTTTATCTTGAAATGAATTTTTAATATTTTTTTGTTGTAATGATAATAACCTATATAAGATAGCAAATTTTTGGATAACAAAGACCATATTTAAATTTTTATTTTAAGTTATATAATTTAAATTTTAAAAAAGTTATATTGAATATTCATTATAATGAACAAAATAAACAAACAACTACTATTATATTTTTTCTTTTAGTAATTATATTTTATTTAAACATTTTTTTGATAGATTTGTATGTATAAATTATATATTTAATTTAATTCGAGATAATTTAAGAAGGAATCGTTAAAGTATGATAAACATTTGATTGTGTTTTTTAAATATTCTAGTTATATTTAGTTTTTCGTTAACAGAATTTTTTAAAGATTATTAAAAATTATATAATTATTTAAATGAAATTAAAACATTGTTTTTCAATATCGATATTAAATTATATTAAACGTTACAAAGTAAATTCTATCATTTATAAAGTAGATAACGATTGCAATTTAAATGTATATTGCAATTTTTCTTGTAATAATATAAAGCAAAAATTATAAAAAAAAAGTAATTATAAACGTAAATATTTTTAACATGATATATTTATAATTATTTATCGGATATATATATATATATATATATTTCTAATACAATTGAATTAAATATATTATTTACATTATTAGAAATCGAATAAATAATTAATCTATATTTTTATGATCATAATATATATTAAATTCTTTCTTTGTACGATATAAAAAAAATGGACTTCCATGAATGTTATGAATTAAATACAGATACAAATTCAAGTCCATAAAAGCACATATAATATAATGTAAAAAAATTATTTTTATGTTACATATTATAAAAATATTTAATATTACTTTTTATTGGTGCAATTGTATTTCCATTAAAATATTATTATGAAATTAAAACGGAATAAAATATGTTTGAATCATATATCAAATATAATAATTTCTCTCATTTTAGTCTAATTTTGATTTTATTTAATTACTTTATTTCAATTTATATTAAGTCAACAAACATATGACGATTTGTATGTATAGGTAAGTAAAGAGGAGTTGACGAAATTGGTCCAGGGATTTGAAGAACAGGATATTTTGACGTCGTCGGGTGTCACCTTGGCCGGCAACAGGTACATTTACCTGTCAGGTACGGATCGAGTGATAAGGGCAAAACTTGGAAAAGTCGGCGTCCACTGCATGAAGACGACGCAAGCAGTAGTTGTCTCTCTTTACGAAGATCCTATACAACCACAGCAAGCCGCATCGGTCGTTGAAAAACTCGGGGACTACCTTGTGTCCTGCGGCTATTAGGTTAGTACATACGTATGTATCATTTGAGTATGGTGTTTTAGCATTGAATTTTTGTCACGTTTGTAGAGTAGTTTCTACGATATAATTGCGACGAAATAAATTAAAGTATTAAGTAGCGGTACCGATTAATAATTGTGTAACATACATTAAGTAGCATTTTATGCTTTTCAATAGAATGATTGAACTAAAATTGAAAGTATATGTTGAGCGATCCCGAGCTTAAGTTTTGAGTTCATATAACGTCAATTTGCTTGAACATATAAATGTTCAACATTTGATTTTATAATCTTATAATATGATAAGAGATTATTTATACGAGAGAATTTTGAATATGAATCCATATAAATTTTCGTAACAAGATAAATAAACAAACGGTGAAATTTACAAAATTTTTTTCCACACACGAATAAGAAGACATACATATAAGTATATAAGTCATTTTCGCATAATTTTAGTCGATCACTTTGGCTCGATGTATCAGTTTGCAATGATGACTAATCATAGACTTACGCGTATCCTTCGTTCTTGAATCGTGCATATTGCGTGCATATTGCGAAGTTCAGACAAATATTTCGTCCTTAAAAAAATGAACAATGCAAAAACAGCATAGATATATTTTTTCACATCGTGATATTTTTAAAAAATAATTAAATAAGAAGTAGCGATATAATGATCAAATACGAGATATAAAATTTTGCAATTAAATAAAAAATGACTTGACAAAAAATAATACAAAAAGTATATATACAAAATTTAAAATTTTTGATGTTTTTTCCTTTCTTCTTTTTTGTTCATATCAATTAAAATAAAAATTATACAACGAAATTAACAGTAAGGCATTTCCCATATTTTTTCTTTTTCTTTTTTTGTTTCAGTAACCTCTGGGACCCAACATAAATATCTAATATTAATATTAAACGATCGATTATTTTAATGAACAGCGAATGGAATGCGTCATGCCGCACGAGTCGCGCCGGAACTGCCGCAAGCTTGCCGCGCGACATTCGATGAAAAGCAACAACTACATCAGCAACAACACCAGCAACACAGCTATCATATTCCAGTCGTCGTTCTCTCCTCTTCGATTCGGCTGGTCGACGTTCGAGGAACAAACGCAAGCGCTCATATATATGCGCAATAATTTTTGAAAAAACTCATAGGCATTTACTTGGAAAATGATCGCGCAAATTGTAATCGATGAGGTGCGGTCTTTTCATTGTTTTTGTTTCGACAGTAGCACTTATGTTTTGAATTTTTATTCCAATGTGTATTTACAATCGAGATGTCAATACTAACGACAGAATTCCAAAAACTTTGATGAAGAGAAAGAAAAAAATGCTTTTTTACAATTGAATAAAAAGAAAGAATAAAAAAAGAAATGAAAAAAATATAAACCGAAAGTACATGCAGTTTTACATTTATATACTCCATATAAACAATAAATATTTACTTAAAAGGTGATAGTGACCGGGAATAAATCAAATAAACAATCTTTCATTTGCGAACGATCGTGTGTCGATTCGTCGATGGAGAGAAAAAATACACGAGAAGCATGCATTAAATATAAGAAATAATGATAATAAATAATAGTAAACTATTGCGTGTTAGATTTACAGTCTTTGTAGAGAATGAAAGGATGTTAGAAATGGAGAGAAAGAGTGAGCGAAATATGAAAAGAATGAAAGGATAAAAAAAGAGAGTGAACGAAAGCGAGAAAGTATGTTAAAGAAAGTTTAAAGGGATAGAAACTGAAAATGGAAAGGGCGTGAAAGAAAAAAATGAATGATCGAGTAAGAAAGAAAAGAGTGTGAATGAGAATAATAAAGGAAAAAGGGAGGTAGCATGAAAGGATTGATTTTAAGGATTGAACGGCAAGAATCGTGAAACAAACAAGAAGCGGTTGTCTTAAGGTATGTTGGAGAGCGCAATAGAGATACAATATCGATGATAAAGAACAAGAAAAAGAAATATGTAAAAGCGACTACGTCGATAAGATAGTGACGGTAAGGAGAACGGTGCGGACGGTGCAGGCAAACGTGCGGCAGAGGGTGAAAAGGCGTGGATTGATACAATCCTGGCCGCCTCCCTCTCCCAGATCGATACAACCCTTTTAACTATTTACTCTCTTTAATATTGCTATGTGTAAGAAGAATAAAACAAACTGACAAGAGACGTGTCATTTATCGAGAAAGAAATAGAGAGGAACGGGGATGAGAACTGGAACGAGAGTCGAAGATATACACCAAGATAATATAAATATATAAATATGACATTCGAGCGCGCGTGGCATGCATACAAAACACAAAATATGATTGCAAAAGTTGAAAGAACTATACACGGAACAGAAGCATAATTAAATCGTTCGATCATCATATTTTCATTTATTCTTATATCTTTATTTTTCTTCCTTTTAAATGGTCAATATTTCTTATCAAAGATAAGAATTTTTTTTATCAAAGATAATATTAATTACGGAACTAGTTGAAAATTAAATATATTAAAATGCAACATTTAAATTTGGATCTATTAAAAGAATAGATTCCTTTAACCGTGTAAATGTTTCTCATTCGATTAATGCAGTCTTACACGAGTTATATCAAGAAATACCCCCGCAGTCATACAGATGCGTTCACGCGCATATACATGCACACGCCCATATACATGACATACATACACCTAATACACGATACCGCTACCATTTATTATTACTGTAATATTATTGCTACTATTATTACTATAACTGATTGCTTGTCGATTCGGCTGGCGTCAAGCAGCAACCCAAACTACTATGTAACGATTTTTATTGATAACAAAATAAGGAATAAACATTGAAGTAATAATTGTAATAAAAGGTAACTCCCAGGCGTCGTTGAAATATTCGCATCCGCCTCATGCTTTTAACTTTTCCTTTTTTGTTTGGAAAAGGAATGATATATTTTGATCCTTTCGTTTTTATAAAAATCATCGTATTTGAAACCAACGATGCGACTACTATATTTTTCGTGTTTCATTAAACCACTCAATGGCCGATAAACACTTCGACTTTTTAACAATGTATAACGGAAGATGGTCGACGTTATGGTTCGGACAGGAAAAGCAGAAATAGAAAGCAAAAGCGGGTATATTGGGCGGGGAGGGGGGAGGGGGAAGGGTGAGCGAGTGAGGGTGATGGGCGCGCGCGCGTTTACGCGCGCGCCTGTGTGCATAAGAGAGAAAGAGAGAGCGAGGGGTACATTTTTGGTCGGTTAAAATTAGATATAACTTTGTAAAGCCGATATACTTGCTCTTAAGATTTTTTTGCATATGTCGATAAGAATCTTCGGAACCATAACACGAATAATAGTTTAAAAAAAAAAAAAAAAAAATAAAATTTGTATAAAGCGGTGTAACGGAGCGTGTTTTGTTTCCATTTATTCATTTATTTCAAATACATTCGTAATAATATTTATCGTGGAGTTTTTTTGCTTCACCACCAGATATAGTCGTATATAGTGGTATATATGATAAAAACTGCATTCTTCCGTCCACGAATGCGATTAAATCAACTTACAAACAATATATAACTTCTCGGTTTCTAACGCGTTGTTTTCGTTCCGATACACAACGATTATTCGAAATTTTATTTATTCGACATATCTTATCGGCAAATTAGACTTACCTGCATGTGCAATAGAAAATTAGCACTACATGGAACTGATGCATTGCATTTGCATCGAATGTTCCATTTTTCTGTTTTTAAAATAAGCCGAAGGGAGATTCCTATAAAATAAATTTATTTGGATAAGCGATAAAAAATCATTAAAGACATTAAACATTATTTTAGACAGTCACGAACTATTTGACTATTTATCAAAATTTTCCTGCAATTTTTCCAATGATTAATATTTTTTCTTGATTTTATTCGGAAAGGAAAAAGAATAATATATATATCTACTAAGAATATATCCATTTTTGTTCCATTTTATTGTTATTTTATTTTGTTGAATAATTTAAATGGCTTTTTTTTTTTTTAAATTGGGAATAATAGGGTATCCGGCATATACATATATATATATTTATGTACATGTGTACATGCGTATATATATTATAACACATTATTTCATTTCATTTATAAACTGTTATTTAATTTATTGATAGATTAGAAGATTAAATAAGACTTTTTACAAAATTATCAAGAAAATTTACATAAAAATCGCTCTCGTTTACTTGCATTGATTTTTTTTCTTTTCTTAAAAAACATTACCTCTACTTATCGCGATCGAAATCGTCATATTTTATATTTTCTATCGATCAACGCCTTATAGCCTACTTTTTATCATTCTCGAAATTTATTCGACTCGTTTTGAGTAAATAATAAATGATAACCCAGATCTCTTTTCGCATACTAGAGATCGGTGACGCGTAAACCTTTGCAGTGGAAAAAATAATGCGCATAGATATATGAGATACAAACGAACATGGATGATCTCGGATAATACGTATATAATTCGAAGGAAAGGCTTGGATTGTAATTCACGGGATACGAAATGTCGTCGATATTAGTACCGAGGCGTCGAGCGCTTTAATTCGTCGAACGACTTCCTAATCGTGTATTTGTAACCCTGCATTCGTGCGTTGCACACTATGTGTTTATTGCCATATCTATTTTTTTTTTTTTTTTTTTTTTTAGTACCTTTTACTCTTGTTCTTTTCCACATCTTAAGCGATAAAGCTATTGAATTTGTACTAAAATTTCCCTCCTATCTCGTGTCTTATTAGTCAACGCGTTAATCCTTTTCCTTTCTACGTAATCTAACTATACGAAGCATATTTACCCGAGTTTGTTTTCATTTTTGACCCGTTTCTATCCGATTTACATACACTCGCCCAGATCGCTTTCATTTAGGGAACAAAGACTAGAAAAACGATGCGCCCAACGAACCGGTCTTAACATCATCATTAGTTAAGTTTAAATAATGTAAATTGATAATGGCGTACGAACATCGAATCATATCGTATAACTTGTTCGGTAACTTGACTTGAGTGTGCGTCGTATATATCGGTATATGGAATTTGTCAGATACAATCATGTTAGAACACATGAAAAAAGTGGATGGTACCATTAAGATAAATCGATAATCTTATATTGCGCGATGTACAAGCGAGTATCGTATATTTCTTTCTTCGCGTTTGATTGGTGGAAGTCCATCATAAATTTATCGATTATTCGTATTTTTTCGATATTCTTTCTAAATATTTTAATCGTTTTTTTTTTTTTTTTCCGGTAAGAAAGAAAAATAATTCGTTTATTCATTTCATGTTTATTTTTCAATGTTCTTCACTTTTTTGAATTTAATTAGATTTATTAAGTATATCTATTTCGCTTTCATACTCTTTATTTCAAAGAGAATCCCCATTATTATCGACAATGATTACACGATACCTGTTCTATCCATTATATCTCGATACCCGAAGAAAACAATAGTTTGTATTTTTGTTTAAATCGTTGATAAGGAGAAGAAAGAGAAAGAGAAAAAAGGGACGCGGGCAAATAAAAAGAAGGAGGAAGAAAAGATGATCATATGATGAACAAAAAGAACAGCACTGAAAAAAGTAATTGAACGCGTAGGTTCACGTGCACGTACGCTTACATGCAAAATGATATAACATACCGATGTGGCGAAAATTGCTTTATAAACGTTTCATTTAAATGGCATTAAGTTTAAGTAGCATTAACCATTATTAGATTAAAGTTAAAGTCTTATCAGGTAGATGTGCATGCATCTCAACGAATATGCGACAAAGCGGCCAGCGTGCTCTCGACTTTGAGACTATGCTAATAACAGCAACCGTTATGCTAGTAATAGCAACAATAGCAGCAGCAGCAGCAACCATAGCACGCGGCCGAATGTATCTCGAATGCCCATCATTCTCACAGTCCAAATTCCAACATGCGATCCTTCGTCGCGAATAGATCGCGAAATAGTTTCTCTTTATCTTCTTATATCGTTCTTTTCCATGTTACACCCACAATTTATGATATCGTTATTTACAAGAATCACTATACATACATTGTATCAAGACCGCGTATTAAATTGTGTTAAAATAAATAAATATATCGCGTAGGAAGTGAAAACAATATCATAACCTACATTACGATCAAATAGCTTCCGCCATTTTTTTCTTTCCTTTTCTTCTTTCTCACTTCTTCTTTCCTCTTCTAAGTTATAATAGAGCCCTTTTAACCATTAAAGTACATTCACGTCATCGCTTTCGTAAATGTTAATAAATACCTACATACATATATATATATATATATATATATTATATGAAAACAATATGTATAATGCAAAATAATAGTGTGAATAGAATTTTTCGATGAATTTAATGATTCATAGGGAATTTCTGTTTTGAGAAATAAGAAATGATAACGATGACGACAACGACGACGATGACGATGACGAATTTGCGTCATTAGTTGGCACTTAAAACGAGAAATGGAAAAGGAAATAATACATAGGAAAAGAGAAAGGGAAAAGATATTCATTTCAGCTGGTTATTTGTACATAAAATCTCATCACAAGATAGAATCGATCAAACGAATACAAAGAAATAATTTTTATATCTTTGCATATCATTATCGGCGCGAGTTTTCCACTTACTGCAACACAATCTTTGGCATTCAAGCGATTTTTCATTCGATTTTCTTTCGATTTCATTAAATATCAGAGAGGAGAACGAATGTATCATATCGATTTTCAAAGTTGTATTAAATATAATTTAAAAAGTGTTATCGTTATTATCGTCACCATTTGTTACGTTACATTGGCTGTAATCTTGCCTCTTTTCCCTTCGATATATAACATATCGAGTACAGAATTATAGATAATAACAAGTGGGTAAGTAAGCAAGCAAGAAAGAAAGAAAGTAAATAAATAAATAATTCGATTGTTAACACGAGATAGCAGATTTTATAAAAATAATGCATTATCGTCCACATTTCACTGCGTGTTTCAACGTTTTTTTTTTTTTGCATGCATATAATTAATTGATTAAATATTTTGGCGCTAGCGTTAGAGAATTAACAATGATAGTAACAACGATCACAACAACAAATTTATCATAATATCATAATAATAAATAAGCAGCGATAATAATAATAATAATAATAATAATAATGAAATTAAAAAAAAAATAGAAGAAAAATATATAAATAAGTCACAATGATTATTCCGATAAAAATATTAGTATATCAATGATGGTAAAAATAAGTAAAAAAAAAAAAAAAATAACGATGAGAAAGACAACAATAATGACGACATAGGCGA